AGGAAATTTTCCAAGAATTTAACAATTTGTATGTGTGTATCTTTTTTTTCTAATTTTACATATAATGAATAAGGTATTACCGTAGGTCTCATAAAATTGAGTGTTTATTTTTAAACGTTGTATTTATTTTAGTATATTTCAAATACGTATGATAATATTTGTTTGGTCATAAAATACCAAAAAATATTAAATAACATCACTGAATTTTTTTCATTTAACCATTGAATACTTCAGAATCCAATAGCCTTGTGGTGCTCTCCTAAGAATCTGACGGTTACCGGATTTATTCTGAAAAAGGTACCAAAATTTTAGATAGAAAGTTTCACTTTTTGATGATCGAAACATTGGCTTAGCTGTTCTTAATGAACTTTTAGTATATAGCTAAGCTGTTAATTTTAGTAACAAAGCTACGCAAGGCATCTTACTCAAACCACACTCATTTCTACGCCATTGGCATGTTGTATTGCAGAATGGCAAACCCTAAGGGCTATAAGCTGTTCGAACCCCTGAAATGTTTGTGTTGATACCGGGCATCGAACCCGTCACTCTTGCACAGAAATCCGTGACGTTATTACTACTTGGCTTGCAAATACATATTTCATTGCCATTTAGATTGAAATACGCCTTAGCAGTGTCCCATCTCGAATAGGTAGTAATCTATACTACCTATTATATAAAAATCTAATGGTGTCTGTCTGTATGTGTGTTACTTATAGACGCAAAAACTACTGAACCGACTGAGCTTAAATTTTACAAAAATATAGCTTGAATGGTAATAAAAAACACAACAATACTGACCTTGGGCTTTGCTCCTTTGTCTTTAAAAGTCCTGAGGCGAGAATTTTAAAAGTAAGTTGGATTGGTCTCCATGGCTGCAAAGAGAATACTCACAATGTTTAGGTACTTTTGGTTAGACAGTTCAATGTAAACAAGCTTGAACTGCCAAATTGCATATTTCACAATTTCAGACAGCTGATATAAAGAAATTAAATATAATATTTTACACAAATAGTTGTAAAATTTGGTATTTTCTTGTAATGTATAATTTACTGTAATTCTCCTTCGTTCTTGAAGGGTAGTTATTTGATGAACAGCCGTTCCCGCCCGCCGCCGATCATGTATTATTCCCCGATGGAGGACGTCTTCAACTGCCTCGTTCCCTGCACGCGATATTTGATATCGACAATTGTCCCCACGAGGCCTTAAACGTAATTGATTTCCAGAAAACACAATGCTGTGTGAGATCAAACTTACGGGTGTGTTGTATTTTTTACGACAACCCCCAACCAACAAGGTTTATTAGTGACTAGAGAACCCGTGCGGCTCAATGAGCCGCATAGTATGAAACATAATCCCGAGGAAAACGTTAACGTTATGCTTAAATTAGAGTAATTCTAGTTAAATCTTAGAGTTGTTTAAACACTTGTTAGAAACTAATTTTAAATAGGTATCTATATTTTGCGTCGTCAAGGTTCACCTACATTATTTCTGCTCTCAGTTTTAACTGATAAATAACTTCTAATGAATACTAAACGATCTCCTTCAATTCGAGTTAACATGATGCGAAAGTTTTTCCAGCATTGTGAATTGAAGAAAACTGTTGCCTTACTGATAACCTGTGTTAAGTAATTTAAGTTGGGTTATTTTATTTCTTTGATTTGAGACATCCTCCTAATAAAACAAATTTTCTCCTTAGAGAATCCTAACAAGTTGGGTGATACAGAATCAACCATTTCATGTGCTCCATTTTTTACTTACAAACTCTGGGTTACCAACTGGACAGCCATAATCTGCTTTGAATAGGCTAAAAAAGCAACACCATTGAAAGTTGGTTAACTATTTTAACCAAGTGAATGTATATCTGGATAGGTATCTGTTAGACCAGGCCGCCTCTCTATTTCCACTCTCTTCATATGCATAAGATATCTTATTATTAATTGTCTCATTCTCCCGTTTTAAATATTTCTTCTTTGAACTTGAGGTATTTTCTGTTCTTCCAACAAAACTGATTAACTGTTTACTTGGTCTTAACCTCCTGAATATTACAAACATTAATATTTACTCCCAAAAAGCTAATGAGTTTCTTTTTATAAACAGCTGTTTTTTGTTTTAAAATTTGTTCCATGTATTTCTTATGGGGAAAATCCGACCTTTGGGAAGGTCTCACGCCCTTAAGAGTGGGAATTTCAAAATTCTAAAACCTTATTGCAAAACTACATATTGAGACGAATCTTTTGACACCTTAAACATTGAAATTGGTCCACAAATAAGGGAGGAGTTGCGTTAACAAAAAACGGCTTCACGTATTATATATATAGATAGATAGATATAGAGAAATCACCAACACAGTAAAATTCATCCACCGTAACCTGCGATTAAATGGAACCTTCAGCTGTTATAAGACCACGGCCCCCAAAAAACCATCGATAAGGACAGCTGGGTATAGTTTCGAACCTTCAAATAGATATACTCAACGCCTTGAGATATACTGACCTTACTTGGGATCAAATCTGATATATTATCAAACGAGAGAAAAGAATTTATTTGTAAAAATAAATACCTCTGCCTTAAAAAATAAGGTTGCCAAAGACACAGAAAAATAGTAAACATAAAATATCGAAGGATTATACAGCTATAAGACTGATTAATTTTGATGTTTTCCATATAGATGATTTCTCATTATGGCCAATGAACCTCTTAATGTTTCATGAATAATAATTTTCAAAAAGGATCTGTCCAAATTATATTGTTTCCAAAAGTTCACAAAAAATTTTGATAATGTTCCTCTAGAACCAATAAACAATCCAATCACCTCAATTTTCGAAATTTTAAAATTTTGCTTGAAATATTCAAAGGTAGAATCATAAATTTTTTTCTTTTCTTCATTTACTTCGTTAGCTTGATTTATGTTTATTTCAAATCGAATTGTAGGATCGAGAATTATGCCTTTGTTAGTTTCTCTTTCAATCAATAAAATATCAACTCTTCTGGTGCTTCCGTTAGAAGAAAGACAGTGTACTTCTTCTTGCACTTCCCATGTATTATACCTTTTTCGGAAGGCATTTGCTATGATACTTCTTATTTTGTGGTGCCTTGTGTTTCTTAGAAGTTCACCAAACGGACAGAAGCCAAGGGCATGTGCAAGGGTTTCAATCTCACCACAGGCATGCCTGCAGCGGTTATTGCCCTGACTTCTGCCGTGGAGAACACGCACTGACACCACATTTGCAATCATTTTTATACTGTCTTTCCACTCAGATTCTGACAAACCTTCTTTATTATTAATACTTTTATTTCCCGGAGTATAGTCCTTGAAAAGTTCAACACCTTTACCCTTCTGTTTTAAGCTTTTCCAATTTTCAAACTCTTTTTCTCTTAAGTCATTTCTTAATTTTTGGGTATTTATTGTTTGATTACGATCAATTTCTTCTAGGTGTAATTTTTTTAAACAAATTGTTTCTATCCGTTTAAATTTGTCTTCATTTATTGTATAACAATTTTTAACCCGTCTGAGTATTTGTATAGAATTAAGTTGTTGAATATATGCTTCCCATTGAGCCTTGATTAATCCAAGTCCTTTATATTTTTTTGGGCTATATAACATAAAATCTGGGGTGTCAGTTGGTAAAACTGTCTACAGTGTTAGTAGTTTTCTTTATTTCAACGTTTTACTTCTGAACGAGATATATATTTTTTACGAAATACACATAAATAGGGATTTCTACTACGTGTTTAATCATCAACCGGAGGACACACTTAGCAACCTAAATCTTAACCAACAGCAGAGTAGGCCTACAATCTGTCAACATGTCCTTACGTCAAATAGTGTTTGTCTTTATATGTGTCAGTCAAACGGATTATTCTTTACTGTATTACTATACATGTGTCGGGGATGCTGCATCTTGTTTCGTCGTTGACCTTGCATGTACTAAAAGTAAACTTATTGTATTTGTTCTGAAAGTAAACAATGTTATATGCTGTAAAATTTGAGGACTGTTTTTATTATTGATTGGCACCTTGGAGTGCCGAATATCTAGCAGGTACACATTTTTTCCCTTGGGCATATTTTCCATTAGTTCCGTCCTTTACTATTTTCTTTTTAATGTTGCAGGACGAGGAATGATTTGTAAATTGTTTTAGTTTGTAAAAACGTACCTATCTAAAGTCGTTGAAATGAAAATAGATATCGAGCAATAAAGTGCTTCTTACAAATACCGGGCAGAAACATAACTCAATATCATAACATAGACAAACCGACACAATTCTAAAAGAATATGTTATAATGTTATATCTATGATCAAAATTGGTTGAGTAAAAAAATTATTACTAATCTACATGATAGCATTTTGAATCGAAGGTCCAACATGATCCAACGTATACATGATTCAAGTGGACTCCTCGGCCCACTGTAAATTCTGAAACATCTATGATCTATGTCTGAAGCTTATTATGTCTGGTTCAAGTTGGTGACACTGAGCGCTAGTGTCGACAAAATGTTGTTCCTCTCATTACAGGTTTCACTTAACGATTTGTATTTTGTATTTGTGCTCTACCTTTTTGTTACGAAACCAGAGGGCGAGCAATTGTTTATAATTAGGTCGAGTTATTTTGCTAAATTAGTATTAAAATAAAATAAATAACAACGACCAAAATGTAAATAAAACACCCCCCGATAGACACCGGAGACCGGACTGCACTAACATTACAATCGTCTTCAGCTGATCCATAAAGAGGAGGTCTATAAGGGCGGGATCCATAGGGATGACAATCTATAAAGGAGTATATTTAATCTATACGTAGTATGATGATGAAAAGTTGTTTTGAAAAAATCGTGTTTAACAAGATAATGTTACATAGTACTGGTGTCTTACTCATGGACACACTTTTCTAGATCTAAATAGCACTGACGTTTCAAACTCCAGCTGATTGAGTGACGAATGAAGGAAGATTGCCCCATTGCCCGTAGCCCGTGTCTGTCTGTCAGTCAATTCAGAAGTTTATCAACATCAACCGAACCGAACCGTCCAAAACCAAAACACTGAAGACGCTAAACGAATGGTGGATAAGTAGTTGTGTTATGCTATTTTTATTTGGTAAGTCTTGTTTGATCAAGAAACAATTATACTAAAACCTTTCGTCAAACTTTTTGACTTACTTTCGTTAGTTTTATATTTAATAAGTAAGTGTTTAAGATAAGTTAACCATGTTACTTATTTAATCCTAGACAAATTTGACAAATACATTGTGTCTTACCGGGGGGGTGCACGGGTGTTGTCACATTTTCTAGATGTTTTTACAAATTATTTAATCCTGATTGCTCAATAGAATGTATGTGATAAATTTTGTACACCTTATTTAAAGTTAGGTAACTAAATCATGAAGTAAAAATTAATCTTTATTTATTTATTTCATACAGAAACACCATTATTACAGTAAGACATTGGCAGATTGTACTGTTTTGCATGAAAATATCTGCACTGTTTTTATTTTGTCAATGCCTTTTTGCATGCCTTTAGGTTTAGGCTCATGGAATCTTTCCTCACAAAATAGTTAACATATCTACAAAGAGGGATTTTCTATGGAACATTTATGAAATGTTACCTATAGGCTACCTAGTTAATACATTAATTTGAAATGTCTATCTTTGTATACTGTTTCTAGGAGACTATGATGTCTATCCAAATAACAAAAAGAATAACTTAGGCTACAAATATGTTAGGTAGGCCTAGGTACCAATAAGATGGTACCTAAGTTAATATCATTAAAGCATACCGCAGATAAAAATATCAAAAATGCCTTGATTGTAGAAAGTATTATATAAAGTTATCAAACGTTTTCTTTTATACTTAACTAGCCTAACATAAAATTACCTGTGGTAAATTAATGTTTTTTACCCTAGGCATCTTTATCAAAAGAGAACAAACTTTTAGGTTAGGGATAAGTTAATTTTGTGTATGACTATAGATTAAGCATAAAATTTACTCCCTTCGTTTATAATCTTATTGGCATCTGGTTTCACAATGGATCTTTCTTAAAAGGATCGAACCAGCTCCCTTATGATAAGGCGGGTACTATAACCACTAATACGCCTACCCTAACAATTTTTATTACCATTTAAACAATGTAAGTAATAACTTATGACAAATTAGGTAGCTTATTAAGTTTAAGCTACGCCTAAAAGATTGATTCTCTAAGTTACTTTATGAACATTAGGCCTACTTACCAGACTAATGTCAAGATCAATAATTGTTCACCACCATCTTGAAAAAAAAACACAGGTCCCCTGCTGGTATTTAGTATTTTTGGAAAAAGGATAGCCCTAGCTCCACCACAACCCTAAACTTTACCACCTTCATAAATCAGATGTGTTTAAACTTTTGATGCTACATGGCGATACATTTAAAAAAATCATCTAGGCCTAATCATAAATATTAAGCTTTTCCTTGTTTTAGAATTTTTTTTACCTCATTAAGTAATTGGTACGCAAATGACAAATGACATCCTGAGGATAGAACTTACCCGACTTGGGTTCATTCCAAGCCAACCAGTAACCACAGGAAATAGACGAATCAGATTTGCTGCTGCATGCATTATAAAGCTTCTGAATATACAACACACGTGTGTAGGCTATGCTTGATAGGACACAACACCAACACGAGGCATATTTAGAGATTGTTTTGTTTACTTACCTAACAAAAGGCCAATGTAGTAACAAGAGAGGCGCACTCAAATCACGCACCAAAATGGAGGTCGACATATAAACTGTGCACATGGGGTAGAGATAGCCCTCAGGTCGCCTCCTTAAACTACGCACATCTACCCTCCTGAGAAATCTCATGATTGATTTAAATAAAAACTATTGTCATTATACATTTAATACCTTTACGGTAGTGTAGTATTTTTTGTATCCTATGAATTAAAAAAATTTTTACTAACCTATTTTTGTCGTTGTTTAATTAATCAATCTCGTTAGTTTTCCTCCTGCCCTTTGGGACTTTTGTTGTGTTAAGCCGCACTACTTGTCTGACTTAATCGATTATTTTTCAAAAATTACAAATGGAAATACACCTATAAAACTGAAAGTAACGATTTATGTTAACAGTTAGCCTTCTAAGCAGCAACTGAAGGACAGTCCAGTGTAACTGAGGAATAATGTTGACACATAAAAGTCAAATTTCCTGGTTATTGGTGATTAGTCTGGTCGGGTGCAAAGTACGTTATAAAATTCTCACTAGATCAACGGAGTGTGGTATTACCCGGTTACCGAGTGTAGTGTACTGAATCAGCTGATACAATTTAAATGTGTTTTCAATACTTTGTTTACATTGTTGTTTGTTTACGTTTGACATAACAACAGAGTTACTTGGTGTTTCAAATATAACTTTTCTTACGAAAATGTCTTGTTACTTTACATAATTAACTCACAGCACTACAAATGGCGCAGTCTACTAAACGGACCGACGATTTACGTATAGATGCTTTTGATGGTCATTCTGAAGAATGGACTTACTGGCTCGAACGTTTCAAGATTGCATTACGAAACAGAGGAATCAAGAATGAGGATACAAAACGAGACTTGTTGCTAGGGAACCTTGGACCTCAACCCTTCAAGCTAGTATTTGACCACGCACGACCTGATCCCATCAGTAATCTTCACTTTACAGGAGTTATTGATATACTTAAGAAATACTACACACAAAAATCCGCACCACTATCACAGCGGGTTATCTTTAGTCGCCGTTTCAGACAAGAAGGTGAATCTGTTAGTCATTTTGAATTTGCTTTGCGCGAAATTGCAGGTCTCTGTGACTTTAGTGACAACTTAGACGAACGGCTGAGAGATCAGTTTGTTCTGGGCATCAACAATGATCGCTGGCAACTTGAACTTTTGCGCTTACATGCTACGACAGATACTACATTTGAACAAGTCACAAACACTGCTACTTTATTGGAAAATGTTGACAATCAACAGTCACAATTCCGTAATACACGTTCAGTCAACAGAATAAGCAACAGGAACAAGAAGAATGCTTTCGAAACGATACCGTTGAAACAAGAAACAAAAGGAAACACTTCGAAACAAAACATCTTACATCTTAACAAGAGAACTGACTGCATTCGGTGTGGTTACAAGAAACATACACAAGGAACGAGCTGTCCCGCTGTCGATGCCACTTGCAACGCCTGTGGAGGACTGAATCATTTTGCACGCACTTGTCTTAAAGTGGGTAATGCAGTCATTATCAAAGGTAAGCGACTTAACATGTTAGAGGCAAAAAACTCGTCTTGTAACTCTAGTGTTAAATCTTTTTCTGATACAGATCAAATCCAAGCGATTAATAAAGGGTCGAAAGTAATGCTTTCAGTCAAGTTAAACAATCATACAATTTCAATGTTGTATGACCCAGGTGCAGCGTTCAGTATCATTAGCAGAAACATATGGCGAGATCTAGGAACTCCTAAACTATTTCCCACAGAAAATCTTAATGCATATACAGGAGTTCTAATTGAAACTATGGGTAAAACGTATGTTTCAGTTGAAGCTTTTGGTTCCAAACGTAAGTTACCGGTAATTGTTGTTAAGAAAAACGATATACCTTTGTTCGGCCTAGACTGGGTTCTTGATTTTAACTTACCACTGCCACCTGGGGCTCAAATATGTACATTGTCCAAACAGCAAACAGAACAAGTAAGTGAACAGATTGTTAATGACATTGTTAACGGTTTTCCAGAAGTTTTCAGTCCCTCTTTAGGTACGATTAAAAATCACAAGGTATCTTTTCACATGGCTTCAAATGCAGCTCCTGTAGTTTCAAAACCACGGCCAGTTCCTTTTGCTTTACGGGAACCTGTGGAAAATGAAATTCAACGATTAGTAGACAGTGGAGTTTTAGAACCAGTCGATGCCAGGAATGAACCTATCATTTGGGCTTCGCCCATAGTAATAGTGGTAAAACCGTCTTGAGCTATCCGCATATGCGCGGATTTCAAAAATACTATAAACAAACATATGCTCCCCGATAAATATCCTATGCCTACATTCGAAGAGATCACCTCAAAACTTACAGGTGGCCAGGAATTCTCCGTCATAGATCTCAAAGATGCATATCTGCAGATGGAGGTCGAACCATCGGCACAACAGTACCTGATTATTTCTACTTACAAAGGATTTTTCAAGTACAAACGCTTACCCTTCGGAATCAAAATTGCCACCGGGGTTTTTCAATGCAAGATGGATCAAGTACTGGCAGGCTTACATGGAGTCGCTTGTCTCCTTGACGACGTCATAGTCACAGCCCCAACGAGAGAGGAACATATCGAACGTGTCAAAGAAGTGTTAAGACGTTTTCAAGAATCTGGAATTCGTGTCCAGACATCAAAATGTAAATGGTTTCAAGATTCCGTTAACTATTTGGGTCACAGAATTGATAGAGCTGGTATACATCCAACGACAGAACATCTGGAAGCAGTGAAAAACATGCAATCACCGAAAAATGTGAAAGAGTTAAGATCATTTCTTGGGTCGATCAATTACTACAGTAAATTTATTCCCCATTTACAGTCCTTGTGCGTTCCATTACACAAACTGCTAAAGAAAGGCGTGAAATGGCATTGGAACGAAAACCATGAACAGGTAGCAGCAAAATTGAGGCATCTTCTTACTACAACAGACACGTTGGCTCACTATGACGAATCCCTACCTCTCATCCTCGCAACTGATGCGAGTGATATTGGTGTTGGAGCTGCTCTTTTCCAAAAGTATCCTGATGGGACTGAAAAACCTTTAGCTTTTGCGTCAAGGCGCCTTGATCATGCTGAGTGCCGATACAGCGTGATAGAAAAGGAGGCGTTAGGTTTGGTTTTTGGAGTAACTCGTTTTGAACAGTACCTTTATGGTAGACATTTCGAAGTTCGAACGGACCATAAAGCATTGGTTAAAGTCTTCGGTGAACATGATTCAATTCCGAAGGTAGTTTCAAATCGAATCGCTAGATGGGCATTAACACTGAGTGCCTATGACTACTCGATCAACTATCAACAGGGCAAAGATAACAAAACAGCCGATCTATTATCAAGATTTCCCTTGCAAAATACGATAAAATCTACAGAGGAAGACCAGGGTGGCAGTAACAAAGCACACCTTTTCCATTTGCGTTCACAGGATCTACCAATATCGACAAAGTGTTTGCAAGAAGCGACAAAAACTGATCCAATACTTTCAAAAGTAGTAAACTATTTAAAAAGGGGTTGTTGGCCTTTGGAAAATAATGAAGACACTAACCTACAACCGTACTACAGCAAACGTGAAGAACTTTCCTTTGAGAATGGAATTCTACTTTGGTTTGGGAGATTGGTCATACCTGCGAAACTTAGATCAAGAGTGATGGAAATACTACATGAGGGACATCCAGGTATTGTAGCTATGAAAGGGAAGGCACGTTTTCAAGTCTGGTGGCCTAAACTGGACAAGGACTTGGAAGAACACACTAGACATTGCAATGGATGTCAAGAAAACAGAAGCAAAGATCCTGAAATGCCGTTATTCTCATGGCCTGTTCCTGGAGAAGTTTGGTCACGGATCCACATCGATTTTGCCGGACCCTTCATGGGGAAAATGTGGTTGATTGTAGTAGATGCTCGGTCAAAATGGCTTGAAGTATTCCCGATGTCGTCAACTTCAACAAAGTCAACGATCAAAGCTTTAGAAGAGTTATTTTCAAGATTTGGCTATCCAAAGGGTAATTTTAAGCGATAATGGACCACAGCTAACATCCTACGAGTTTCAAACCTTTTGTAAGAGCCTAAACATTAAACATGCTCGAATCACCCCCTATCACCCAAAAAGCAATGGGTTAGCGGAACGATGTGTTCGTACATTCAAAGAACGCATGAATGCTTCAAAAGGAAATGCTGGGACTTTCCAAGAAAAACTCAACAGCTTTTTATTTGCTTACAGAACGTCACTGAGAAGATCTACTGGAAAAACTCCAGCATTTATGATGTTTGGTCGCGAATTACGCTCCAAATTAGACATGTTGTTTCCTGACGTTGAGCAGAAAAACGACGAAGAGTTGGTTCAACAGCGGCTACAAAAACCTGGATCAAAAGAAAAAGTTTTTAAAGAGGACGACAATGTATGGGTACTAGACAAATCTGGAGCTGGGTTCAAGAAAGGAACGATTGTGAAAGTGAATGGTCCTTACTCATATGTAGTAAATACAAATGGACTAAATAGACGATGCCACGCAGATCAACTTCGTCTGGCTTAACTCTTAGAAGAAGGGGGGACGATGTAGTGTACTGAATCAGCTGATACAATTTAAATGTGTTTTCAATACTTTGTTTACATTGTTGTTTGTTTACGTTTGACATAACAACAGAGTTACTTGGTGTTTCAAATATAACTTTTCTTACGAAAATGTCTTGTTACTTTACATAATTAACTCACAGCACTACACCGAGAAATAATTACGTTACATTGTTCACCTACTGGTGATTTTCATGATTCCTTTATTGAACGAGAGATGATGCTTAGAGGATGAGAATCTCCAAACCATAATTTCAACTTAAGGTTCCATATAGTACAACTATAATCATTGGTAAGAAATGTAGGGTCCTTGAAACTGTGGAACGGGTTAAGTGCCAATAATGTTATCCTGATAATATAGTATTTTGCACGTGCATTAATGGCACTTGTATATCGTACTAGATATCCTAGTAATATACTTAGTGGGTATAGCGGCTAGTATTTTATAATAAGTTAGTGGTTGAGTATTGCTTTCCATTAAAGCATTCTATTATTGCCAATGTATTGTTATGTAGGGAATGAGACATTAGAGAGTCATTGAGGCAGACGCTGAGGACATTCTGAGGCACCTGCGGGTCATGTGCGGGGTTCAGCTTAGTTGATAGGGGTACCCTTTCGGGGATTAGGACATTGTGCGTCGTTTGTATACACCCAACAAGACCAGGGTTTGGACCCTTCCCTTCAAAACATTTAAGGCCAGGCACACACAGGCGATTTTGAGTCTAGCAACAGTTGCGCGACTAAAATGTTCACCATTGTTTTAAATTGGAGTGCGCACACCAAGGAAACAGTCTAGGGACAGTCGCGCATCTGTTGCAACTGATGTTCCCGGACCCAATTTGCCAGAGACAGCTCTGCGACTCAATTGTCGTGGGACTGTCGCTCCAGGTTTGGTATCCATTGAAACAAAGGTAGACGCGCACATATGCGACTAAATTGTCGCTGTGTCGCTCAGTCTCACCCCAGGAATTCAGCTACTCGTGGCCTAAACTGTCACTAGTGTTTGCTCTCTTTTTGTTGTCTGAAGTTTTTAGAAAATTACTTAAATATGAGTGTCCGTGATGGAACAATTAATTGATGAAGTCGAGAAGAGGCTGCCTTTGTATTTTAAGTCATTGAAAGACTATTCACAGGCTGCTGACTACATTTGGGATGAACCCCAGTATCTTCTCTTCTTCTTTCACGCGCGAAACTTCAACAACAAAGCACCTACTACGGCTGCATCATTGAAATCCATTCGGTACTATAACGCTGTTAACGAATGTAATGTCCAACTTACGTCTTACGATTCACGACTAAAAAGTTGCCTGTATGCGCATTCCAGCTCGACTGTCGCTAGAAGACTTCAGAGTCTCCGAGTGGGTTGCGCAACAGTCCCCCAATTAGTCAGGCATCTGTTGCTAGACTCAAAATCTTCTGTGTGCGCCTGGCCTAAGAAATGTGAATGGCATGAATATACTCTCACAAAAAAAAATTATGACCATCTGGGATGGAAGGATATGGCTTTGGAATGTTCTGGGTTTTTATCTTCCTTGGTGTCCGGCCGGAGAAACATTTTCCTGAAAATTTGCATTTTACTCACCGTACCTCACACTTAATATAGCCTACATTTGTTCCCTAAATGGATCATTTTTATCGATTCGCAACTGTGAGAGCCATAAATGGACATACAAGATAATTAATACAAATACAAAATAAAACAAAGCAGAACCAGCCCTTGAGACATGGCTCGAAACTACTGTCGGTGGACATTGCTGTCTACATAGACACACATTAGATGTGTATCTATGAAAGTGGTTGGTGTTAGCATCTACTTTAATCATCAAATAAATAAAGAACAATCAATAACTTTATCAACTCTATAGATCTTAATCAATAATTGTTGTTTTTTTGAATATAATTTGTTTCAATTCGAGTTAACTCATCCCATTTATTATCTATTATTTATTATCTATTTGTTCAAAAATATTGGTTTCTATTTTCTGAGTCGGTTTAGCTCTTCTACTTGACCTATTTTTAATCATTTTGGTCTTAAATTAAAGGTATGCCTACACAGATTTGCCATCAAGCATCATCATTCATTTATATACTGTATTAATCGATCAAAAACTGTAAATTTAATTTACACCACACTACACTGTTTTAACAAATTTTCCATGCAAGGATTTAGTCCAGAAAACAGCCGATTGTCGCTAGCTTAATCAAATGGGGTTTCATTACGTACTAACTGTATTGTAATGAGTTTTTACGGGACACCAATCAGCTGATTAAATTTTTGTAATGAGTGGTTTATATGCAAAAACATAAAGAGGGGTTATGATTAGTGAAAAATAATCATATAGTCGGTAGGGGATTTGTACAGATTTTTTTATTGTTATGCCAGCTTAAAGTGGTATGGCGTAAAATATCGTATGTCACTCGTCCAAAATATGTTTACAGATCTCGTATGGTAATCCTGCACCCGACTAAGTCTCGCACGGGAACGACCACACTCGTCCGGTAAACACCTATTTTCAGGACTAGTAATTTAATATACTATCTAACAGTATGCATGGATTTTCTCTGCGGTGCACTTGAGCTGAGTAAAAAGGTGTTAAAGAAACATGCTTGCCTATAGGCTATAGATTTTGTTCCTATCAATTAATGATAAATCCTATCAATTTTAGCATTTATTTTTTAATAGATTATTATGCATGATGACAAATAATTAATTAAGCATATCAATTTGTTTTCAAAATAAGATAGATGGGGTTGAAAATATGCTTTAAAACTTACTCATGAGGTCTTCAAATTGAAATGGAAAATCGTGAGTTTGAATCATAGTTTAAAAAGGGGTTTTAAGTCTTGTGAGATTTTGTTGCACTTGAAAGCCAATTAGATCAAGTTATTGTTTGGAATAGCACACACCATCAGATAACAGAACACACAAATCTTAGACAACATCAGTGAATAGGTGGGCCAGCTATAGTGATTAAGCTACATTGATAAAGCCATTTTTTTTTAATCTGCATGGATAGTAATATACATTTATGTAGAAACATTGGTAAAGCTGCAATAATACAGTAAAGATTTAGATAATCATTTATAAGTCAGCATTGATAAGATTAACAACATCTATAAATACAATTGTATTGATATAACAACATTGACATTGCAAATCGAAATCGGTTTAGCAACATTTAATTATATTTCAACATTGATTCTGCATTAGAGTAGGCTACAGTAACAATTTAAAAGATTATATCGCTTAATTGTTTAGCGGCATTGACAAGGTGCATTGATACAGCAACATTTATATTTAAACAAAATCACTACCTAGATATGGGTACATTGATATAGCAGTATTGATAGTAATCATTGATACAGCAACATTGATACTCAAGACTCTGATGTGATATGATATGTGTAAACAGATTATTGATTGTAACCCAGCACCGGCCGGTGGCTTTGTGAAGCAGTTGCGGCACCAGTGTGTTGTGTGTCACTGTCAAGTGTCCGCCTGTCTCATTAACTGATAATAGTTTTGTTTTAGGTCTCCGATGAGTCATTAGTTCCGTCAACGATTGATCTGCGCAATTCAATGTGAGTATTTCGTTGGGAGACAATATCGATTGGCAGTAAGTATAGTGCTTAGCTGCAAAAATATTTTTCATTTTGGGTTTGAAACGTACAATTAAAATTAGGAAGTTATGGTAAAATACTTTATAGATTATCAACAGGTCTATTCTATTTTGACCAAAGTGCTGAAGGAACTTTTTGTATACATCCCAAACGCCAAGTTATTAAATAAAAATTAGTTATACAATATACAGCGTTTGAAAAATTGTTTCCAATCTCTATTTATTATTTTATTATGCTATTAAAGTTTAACTGTTAGATATGGAATATTCTTTTTTTAAGAGGTCTTAAATATTAATTAAAAACTGATTGCCAGTACCGGTAGACAATTTTATAAACTAATTTGATAGTTACAAAAATATTATTGCTAAAAGTTTTTTTAATTAGCCTACAAGTACAAGAAATTTGATAATCATTTTGTATGTGATTAGAAACAAATTTGTTGATGATATTGGTATAAAGTTAGTTACTATTTTTTTAATTGTATTTATCGATTACATCTAGATAGGCTAACTCTAACAATCTACCGTTTGGATTACTTTTAAATACCGTTTGTGTGTCATTAGAATAGAGCTTGCATCTCAGTATTAATTTCATCTTGTCAATAGCTTAGGGACATTCTTAACAATCTTTCCCTTTTAAAAAAGTTGAGAACATGTAAACGAACTTAATAGCCAGGGATCAATACAGGCTAGTTACCGTACAGTACACATAAATCATTTGCCGTTCTTGGTAACCAAGCCTTCGTTTGCCAATGCTATCTTATCGGTACTTCAATATTTAAGCTTGCCAGGTAGTGTTCAAGTCTCAACAATCGCAATACACCAGATAAGACTTGCAAACTAATTGCCAATTTTGTTGTAATAATCTATTTGTATGTTTAGATTTTACTTAATCAAACTTTGATCCTTATAATTTAGTCAAGCTTTATTTTGAGACATAAATAATTTATTTGCTCACAACATTTCATTTTCTATGATAACATAAACAAGTGCGTGGCCAAAAATATTTGATTATTTATATACCAAAAATAGTAATTAGCTGCCTCTGGCAGAGTTAAACCTCTGAAGTGATTCAAATTATTTATTGTCATTGAAAATAATGTCAATAAAAGCAAACAAAGACAAACAAACAAATTTTTATACCCAAAAGATATGGTGTACAGAGATATCTATTCTGACACATAGATAATTTAATTCTGAGTTTGTTTAAATATTACAATAATTTGTTTTACATTTGAGCTTTTTATAGGGACCTATGTCCTTACAAGCCACTAGTTATGTATAAAGTGTTGGATAAGGGCTCTAAATGCATCAAACAGTTGGCCTATTGCATAGAAATGAACAAAACTTACAGTTCTGTTAATATACATAACATATAAACCTTTTAAATTTTGGCAAACATTATTGTTTGTTGTTTAAAATTGACAATTCTTTTGAGATCTTATGCCATCTCTGATAGTTGTGGTACGGTATTAAAGTCGTAAAAAATACATTCCAGTTTTTGTAGTATCACATTAAAATTAGTTTTTAGCCTGGAGCAAATACATTTATTTATGTATTTTGTATCCAAATATTTACTTACAAACAATGTTTTCAAATCTGTTTGAAATTCTTCTGTAAAGAATAAGAATAAGAATCCTTTATTGTCATTAGAGACAGTTTTGTAATAGACATTGTCAAAGCTATAAACTAAAAATGTAGGTAGCAGAGTCTTGGACATTATCAAAGTGGAATGATATGTTACCACACATCCAATAATTAATGAGTCGAGTAGTTTTAGGATCGGTTAAGTCTCTAGTGAAGCCTGCAGTTTTGGAACGTAGTGTCTATAAGTTAAACTGTTTGTACTGTATAGGTTATTCAACATTTTCTGCCAGCCACATGTTTTACTGTTGTTGACTCACTAGATATTATTGAATCAGTTAGTGGGTGAGTCACTTACTGAGTCATTTTCATTTGTTATCTTACTAATGGCATTGTATTGAATAATGGTTTATAGGCTACCATGTAATTTGTTACAGAGTCACACAAAATATATAATTAGTTTAAAACATGTTTGAATTTATTAAAGTTTATTTTGAGGTCCTCTCTAATATCGCATTGTCTATTCCCTTCCACTGACATATTGACACATTCGACTTTGAAAGTTCAAGGTTGAAGCAAATTACAGACCTGACAATAATTTACACACCAAACAGTGTCCTGCCTTTTAAAATGCACATGACATGTATGTACATGGTTGGTTGATAAACGTCGATTATGTTATATTTTTGTTGTATTTTTTAAGGACATTTTGCAGAGAAAAAAATGTAAAGGATTGAAAGAAACTTAATTAAAAATTTTTATCACTTTGTAAATACCGTACTTAAAGAGTTCTTCTTGTTCAGACATTTTGGTTCTAAACCCTTGTTCAAACGTTTGAACAAAAAAGTGTGTGGACTACCACAAACTATCACAACATAAATACATTGCAAAATTACACGTTACGTTTAACAAAATAAGTAAAACGAGCTGTTATACTGAACAATAAAGGGGTTCACAACATGTTTGTACTGAGCTGTGCTAAACAAAATGTCAATACAACATTCATGTATACTCATTGTATATCTTTAAATGAAAAACAATTGCATTGAACAGGTTGTAAATTGATTCTTTACGTGGCTACAGACAAAGACAAGTGAGTCTGTGAGTGTGGGATCCGAACCATTCAAACACTAACCAAACGGTTCCGAACAAGAGAGATTCTACTTTAGTGAAATGTTTTAAAATCTTCTATGGTACAATGTAAGCTGTTTGATATCAATTTTTTAGAACTAATCTGTGCCTGAAGTATAGTAATTTTGTAATAAACTTGATATGTTTTACCTTGTGTTGTACAGATGGAGTCACGGACTGAGACACTGGTGACTCACCGAGTAATCACAGACAATGATACTAGCGCAGAGGTAAGAGAAAGTTAAATTTAAATTGTCTTTATTTTTTCAGGCAGATTTAGGACTTAGGCGGTTGACACAGGAAGACTGAAACCGAACTAAAGTTGAACCAACTGTTTTGTGACGCGATTACGATTGCAGTTGCGTTGGTTAAATCCGCACACGGGCGTGACTGAAATAATTGTAGTTGAGTTGAGACAGTGAATGAGTTCTAATTTTGTTATAATGATACTGTGTACTGTGTGTGGTGTTCGAAATGAGTAGTAGTGATGAAGAAGCCCTGGTGTTTTATAGACAATCAAGAAAGCGTAGAGGATGTAGAAGGTATTGGGTACATCCTTATGTTAAAACAAATATTCAATGTAGGCTCTTTGTAGCTGCATTACAAGAAACAGACACAAAATTTCAGTCTATGTACAGGATGTCAAAAAGTACTTATGAGGAGTTATTGCAGTTGGGATGCCCTATCCTTGAAAAGCGCAATACAAATAAGCGAAAAGTTGTTAAAACCAGGCGACTGAAATCACCTTCCAACCGGCAGGTCCGGATGCTTACGACTGATCGCCGAATGGTCCTCAACTAGTCGCATCGCAGTCGCACTGTGTGTACTGTCCCACCTATCTACATTGGTCGGAACGCCGATTTCAGTTGAAAAACAGTCTTCCCGTGTGTCGACGGCCTTACGGAGGGAACTTGTTCCCTCTTTTACTTAAGCTTGTGAATGACAGTGATACTAGTTGACTAATCACAATGGCTCGGAGGTAGTGTCTGACAAACTGGACATTGCTGCTTTGAGGTGCGGCCATTGGCTCCTGTCATATCACTGCAATCACCACTGGCTAGCCTATGACCACAGTTACCTAACTGTATACCACAAACACAAATAGATAAGATACATCTTTCTTGATAGTTATTCTAAGGTCTTCATATATGACCACTTTGTATGTTGCTTGTATGGAAAATGTTTATATAAAAGAAACTGATTGATGGATGATCGAACAAACTAAAGAATTACACTGCTCCTTGAGATTATTAGTTTTTACTGCACATTTCTTCAACTAGGTGTTTCTTATTCCCTAGTTGTCAAGGCTATTCTAAAAGTTATTCTTCTTTCCTTCTGAAGAAGCTTTCTTGAAGGAGTGGATATCAAATTAATTCTTTCATGACATTGTTATCTACTATCGACTACCTAAAACGCTCCTCCTCTGTCAAATCTTATTTATGTAATCGAACTACTTTTGTTGAACTGAAATACGTAAACAAATATAATCAACTTATATCTTGCCGTTCCAGTAACAGTCCGTTGAAATATGGTGTACCACAAGGATCTATATTGGGACCTTTATTCTTTTTATGTTACATCAATAGTTTAGCTAATTTCAGTGATCAAAGTAAAATCACTTTATATGCAAATGATGTAAATATAAAACTATCCGGATACCATGCAAATGATATAGAAATATCTTCTTTTATAAAACTTAATGCAATCCAACAACATTTAGCTGATTTAAACCTTTTATTAAATAAACAAAAAACTAAATATATTAATTTTTCCGCTTCAAATAGGAAAAGTGGGTCTGTGGTAAAGAATGTTTGTCTTAATGATTCCTTTATTGATGAAGTTAAGGAAACAAAATTCCTTGGTTTAACTGTTGATAGACTTCTTAGCTGGAACACTCATGTATCTCAAGTTTGTAAAAAAATGTCAACAGGTATTTTCATCCTTAGAAAATTATCACCATTTTGTGATATTAAAACCCTTAAAGCAGTTTATTTTGCTTTTGTGCACTCTCATGTCTCTTTTGGTTTGTTGGTTTATGGTAACACCTCTAATGAAAATGTAAACATGATACTTATATTACAAAAAAAAGCAATAAGAATAATAATGAAACTTAAGTGGTTTGAGTCAGCCAGAGAACATTTTTCAAATTTAGGAATAATGACAGTTTACAACCAATTAATCTATTATCTGATTCTGTGGATAAAAAAAAATCAAAATAGTCATTGTATGCTAGGTTTTAATCACAGATATGAAACTAGAAATAAGAATAATTTTTGTTTTAATAGACATAAGCGAACATTTTATGAGAAGAAGCCAACATATTCAGGCATCAAATTTTATAATTCATTACCAGAAAACATAAAATGTATAACTGATTTTGGGTCCTTCAAAAAGAAATTGAAGTCATTTATTATTGTTAAACCTTTGTACAGTTTTAATGAATTTTTTTAAGCATATGTCGTCTGTAACAGTTAATTTAATTTCTTACAGTGATTATAATTTTAATTTATTATTGTATTATATATACTTGTACTTACTAGTTTATAATAGTACTTGTTGACGCCATTCTGTACTCTATGTGTACATAATGAATAAAGAAAATTTTGATTTGATTTGATTTGATTTGAATGTATTCGCAATGCAAGTGCTTTCACCTCAATAAACTAAATTTATAATCCAAACCCATATTTGGGAGAGAACACTTAACTCTTATATAGTAAAACACACAACCTTATCTGGCCCAAGACTAAAGTATATGGTCTTGGGATTTTGACAAGACCATCTTGGGGTCCAGCTCCTCCAGTGGGATAGCTGTCCTCCCCAAACACCCAAACAATGCCATCTTACCAACTGTCCCTCAGATCAACTATACCTTCTACTCAAAGGAACAGCCTTTTTGACAGTCAGATTAACAAGTTATTGGTTAACAACACTTTCAGCCAACTTGAACTTTTTCGGAAACACTACATGTTTACAGTATGAATACCTCTACTAAAACATCAAAATAATTTTCTTGTATATTTTTCTGACATGGATAGCCTGGTAGCTTATCTATAGTGCTGCTTGGTTAGAAGGTTGACTGATCCTGAGTAAGTAAGATGCGTTTTATGGTTATTGGTCCCAATTGTGTGGGGTCATAGGGCTTTCAAATGGTGGCTAAAGAACCAGTCGATCTTAGTCAGTAACAAAGCTATCATTTCATTCGTTTACTCATCTTCTCGGTTGAGAACCCACCATGATGTGTCAGCATTGAATAAATGAAAATAAAAATAAATTTTGCTTTGACAGGTGGGTGGAGACGCCCAGTGTGGACGCAAGCCGGAGTACATTCCTCGTATCCGCTGGCCAGACCTCGCTGCTCAGCTGTTTGTACATGGCGGAGCTCTCTACGGCCTCTACCTCATGATCACCAGGGCCCAGTGGTACACTGTCCCTTGGGGTAGGTACTAGTGCTTTGCAAAGCCTTGTATTTTCCAGTTACTTTACAAAAAAATACAGACATTTCCTCATGGAATAGTTTAAATGTACCTCAGGTTACCTGCTATGTAATTCAATAGGCCTACATGTTTGTTTGTGCACTACTATAGTTTCAGGCTTCTCAAGTCCATATTCAATTATCACAAGAATATCAGGATAGGCTAGTTAAAAAAAAACACACATACAGACATACAATGTCATGCATTATTCATGCTACATTCGTATACAGATTCATGTAAAGTATAAACATGAAATGATTAAAAACTGGTCATTATTCATATAGGCAGTGTTTATTTGAGTACAAAGTAGGTGTTACCTTTTTCACTCAGTTCAAAAGTTGTAACTGTTGTTATGGACATCAATCACATTATGTTCAGTGCAATTGACTGAACAAATGAGCCAATTCCTTTTCAATTGCACCACCTTATATTTTATCCAGAACTTTTGTTTTTGCACCCAGTATATAAGGTTTGATGTAAGAACTGATTTGTTTTCCGCAGCATTCGCAATGGTCTACACGTCAGGGTTTGGTATCACAGCTGGGGCTCACAGGCTGTGGTCTCACAGAGCCTACAAGGCTAAGTGGCCTCTGCGGCTTCTACTCTGCTTCTTGTTCACCATTGCAGGCCAGGTAAACCGCTACGTGATTAAATTTTGTAATTTATAGTGGTAAACTTTGTATCAATATTGTAGTTCTTAGTAATTGCAGAAAATTACTGTACTAAATGATTCTTTAAGTCTCTGAATGATATTTTTAAGGAGTAGTGTTCGCCCCCGTTTTTGACTCAGTTGTCAGAGACAACGTTTGTCAAAAACGAAAGTTTGTATTTGTACTTTGTAGTGTACTATTGATTGATTATTTTATTACAGAGGCACGTGTACGCATGGGCCCTTGACCACAGAGTGCATCACAAGTTCAGTGAGACAGACTCAGACCCACATGACGCTAGGAGAGGGTTCTGGTTCTCGCATGTAGGCTGGCTCGTACTCACACCTCACCCTGATGTGGAGGTGAGACGCAAGGCTGTGGACATGAGTGACCTGGACAACGACCCCATCGTACTGTGGCAGAAGAGGTAGGCCTACTTACCACTAGGCTTGCTATCAAATATAAATAAATAAATATTTTATAGTGTTTTATACAAAATGCTGCTGCACCTTTTTCACGTGGTGATCAAATTGTTTTTTCATTATGACAAAATGTTTCAAAAACGGGTTAAATGTAATGTCCCAAACCTCAAATTTGGTAAATCTATCCATAAGAAACAGTTTACAAACTAAATATGTACAAATTTACAATTAATAAATATCCAAAGTGATAAAAGTCACACCCGCAATATTGGTTGTTGGTAAACAGTCAATAAAGTTCACAAAAACCGGCCTAAAATAGTGTCTCAAGTTTCTAAAAGTAATGTCACATTTCAGTCAAGGGACAATATATAATATCAAAATAAACATTTACAAATTTACAACTTATAATCACGGAGTAAACTGATAAAGTAAAATCACACCAAAACTCGACATGTTAGTTGTTGGTCAGAGATTGAGGTTAGTTAGTCAGACATATTCACAAAAAATAACCGCTGATAACTTCAGCACCAGTGGTGCAATCTAAAGCAGTTAAATACCACAATGCACAGAATTTAATGGGATCCTATCTTGGTAGTGTCAAACATAAATACCCCCGCCGCAGCAAACCTGCAGACTAAGCGAATTTCCATTTGCCTGATTGGATTTACACTAAAATGTCTCCTTAAAAATATCACTTTTATTCCCTATTTAAATAGCATTAGTTTAACGAGTACTTAGGTTTGCTGCAACAGGGAAGGTAAAAAGGTTTTTTTTTTTGTAAAATTTTAATAGTTTAGTATGAAATGAATACATTTTCCAAATTTGATCAAAATATGTTCATAAACAAGCAAACGACAACAGTTTATTTATTCTCCATAAGAATAACACGGGGATTTTAAATTTACAGTTTTTTGGAATTTTCTCCGTAACCATTAGGCGCATAATAACGCTTCAATATACTAAATTATTTGTTTTTTTAAGCTCTACAAAATGGTTTGGAAAGAAATTGCTAAATTTTATGTTTTTTGGTTCAAAAATGGGAAAAACCTATTTTCACCCCATAAAACCCCCCATAAACCCCCGTTCCCATAGTCCGATCATGCTGGTTTGCGAACTCGTTCAAGTTTATCCCGCCTTACACCTTCAAACCAAGTTTTATCAAAATCGGGCAAAAATTACTCAAGTTATCGTGCGGATGGACACACATATATATATATATATATATATATATATATATATATATATATACATATATAAAAATTTGAACGAATGGTGTTTTTGGCCTCTGGGACATCAAAATGAAAAAGTAAATCGGTCCTGGGCCTAGGTCTTACCATGAGACCTACGGTAATAGCTACTTCCCTATAGGGAAATTTGCTAAAAGGGTTTGTTTCAGGAGGAAATAACTTGTGGGGGGGGGAGGAGTCAGGCCTTGTTGACAGTGGAATCTATGAGTCAAGTCAAGTCAAATAAATCTTTATTCAGACATACAACAATGTGTACATGAATGTGTCTTAATCTTAAACTATAACTAATAGGCCTACTAAAACTATTTTCTGGATCCATTTTTTTTACATATTTACATGTTTATTTATATATTTGAACATAGTGCAGTAAATTCTTCAAAATTATAAAACTCTCCACTAATTAGAAAATTCTTAAGGTTTTTTTAACTTATTTCTGTTTTCCTCATTTCTGATGCTACAAGGTGGTGAGAATTATTAAATTTAACCCCAATATGATCAGGGCTTTCTTTAATTTTTTTCTTTTTTATGCTTTTTCATTACAAAATTTTGTTTGTATCTAGTATTGTAAGTATGTACATCTTGCTGTCTTTGCAGTTGCGACTCCCAGCTTTTAACATATAATATAGTCTTATAAATAATGTAGAGGCTATAAACTGTAAGAAATTCTAATTCTTTGAAACAATTTTTTCATGATTCATTTTTAGCGAATTTCCCATATAGGGAATAAGCTATTACCGTAGGTCTCATGGTAAGACCTAGACCCGGGACCGATTTTCTTTTTCGTTTTGAGGTCCCCAGAGGCCAAAAACACCATCCGTTCAAATTCATATATATATATATATTTATATATATATATATTTATATATATATATATTTATATATATATTTATATCTATATATATAATTCTGTAAGGCAAAATTTTTACCAGAAAATTGTGGACGTCTGGTAAGTCGCAGAAAAGTGGGCGAGGTCTTAAATTGAAGGTCTTGACCCCAGGGACTCGGGAAAAATAGCAGAATTCCCATAAAGTTGTCAGAAAACAAGATATAACGTAAAATATCTACCATAAGAAATGCATGGGGACTGAAAAACGTCTGCATTCTATCAGCTGTTACTTATTTATTTGCAATGTTTACATTTATTCCGAAAGTCAATGTTGGTAAATAATGTTTCATAATGAATTGTGTTTATTTTTTTTGTTTTCCGTTTTTATAATGAGTGAAGTAACTAGACAGGGTAGGGGAAGACCTGCAAGACGTGGAAGAGTGTCCAGGAATTCAACAGACTTAAGAAATGCAAAAGAGAACGTCATATAGGGACTAACTGTGAAATCCAGAAGCTGTTTTACAACCTGTCTTTAGAAGAACGCTGGAAATGAGTTGACTGTTGTTTCTCACAATCTAGGTCCTCTTAAAGCACTTGCATGCATTGTGGCGCATTTCACTTCGCAGAGGAGGCCATTTCAACGCATGTTGCCACAATGGACATGCCACAACCACAAGTAAATGATGAACTAAAAAAACCGTTTTTACATGATTCGAACTTCATAAAAAACATAAGGCAATACAACAGTGCAATGGCTTTTGCACCGCTTTCCTTCTCTTTTTGTGTAGCGGAAAGCGACGCAAAAGCCATCGCTTTCCGCTACACAAAAAGAGATTCCGGGAAATGGGCCTTACCGTCTTAAAAATCAGGGACAAATTCATAGATATATTTCTGACTTACTACCGCGAAATGGGGAGTCGCCTTAATAATAATTAATAATAATTTTGACCTTTACATGTGGTTCTCAAAATGGAAACTATAACAGAATTCGTAAGATTATAAAACAAATCTTCAATTTTAAACTAGAAAAGATGTGCAATGTTTGGCTGTATGATTTCACCTCTGATTCGTCGTTCTCCGGGCTCAGGCCAAACCGTGTGCACGTTTCCATTTCTTAATATGTTGTGTTATTGATTTAATCATTATTTTACAATTGTATTTCATTGGCACATCAGGAGCATTTAATATACGACTCCAACGGAAGGAAAACCAATATATAAAACAAAAAACACTGTTAATTTTAAGTAACATAAAATTGATAATTTTAAAAACATAGGCCTATTTCGAATATTTGTCATTTTATATATGGTTTTTTTTATTGTAGTCTAAATTAGGGGCTATGGCCCCTATAGGCCACTAGTATATATATATATATATTTATATATGTGTCCGTTAGCGCGATAACTCGAGCAAAATTGATCCGATTTTGATGAAATTTGGTACAAACGTGTAAACCTACATTTATTCGAACGAGTTCGCGAACCAGCATAATCGGACCATGGGATCAGAGGTTTATGGGGGGTTTTTTGGGGTAAAAATGGGTTTTTCTCATTTTTGACCCTAAAAACTTAAAATTTCTAAATTTCTCTCTAGACCAATTTGAAGAGCTTAAAAAAACAAATAATTTGGTATATTGAAGTGTTTTTAAATGTTCATTGACTACGGAGAAAATTTAAAATTCCCATGTTATTCTTATGGAGAATAAATAAACTGTTCTAGTTTGCTTGTTTATGGATATATTTTAATCAAATTTGGCAATTTGGTTTATTTCATACTAAGCTATCAATATTTCAATTGAAAAAAACACATCTCAACATCTTCCCTGTAGCAGCAAACCTAACTACTCACTAAAATTAATGTTATTTAAATAGGAAATAAATCTGAAAATTTATAGGGAATATTTTAGTAAAAATCAAGCCGGGTAAATGGAAATTCGCTTAGTATGCAGGTTTGCTGCGACGGGGGTATTATTTAAATTCAGGATGCACCTTATGGTCTCTTTTTGTAAATGTAAAATTTCATTTAAGTTAGATTTATTTGTTCCACCATAAATTTCAATGTTATAAGAAATATGGGAGTATATATTTGAATAATAAACCACACACAAAATTTCTTTACTGCAAAGGGGAAATATAGTCGTCTTAAAGTAAAAATACCGTAGCTAATTTTATTACATGTTTTATCGACATTTGAGGTCCAATTTAGTGACTGTCCAAGGTTAGACCTAAAAATTTTGTTTCACATGCAAAATTTTCAAATATCTTTTCCCCATACTTTTTACACTCAAATTTTATGAGTTCTTTTGCTTTGCTGATCCTCGATCATGGAAATCTGATTCAGTAGTCCAGGGCTTCATGGTTTCTTATTTTAAAACCCCCAAATTGTAACGACACTCAAACTGATGTTATAACCTGTTTATAAACTAATAATGGTGAAAATATTTCAAAAATACAATTATTGCTGTTGATTGTATTGTGATAATGATGGCACTATACTGGACTGGAGCAGATATAAGTCTGGGTTGTAATGTTGGTCTCATAAAATTAGAGCTAGCATATGTAAAAAAGTGTGTGTATGATTATTTTCCTAAGAAAAGAATACTCAAATGAATGAGAAAACAAATGTAATTTTTTATATATTTATTTCTAAGAGATACTGTATTATTCTGTGTTTTTTTTAGGCTCTACATTCCTCTCTTCGCTATTTTCTGCATCGGGCTCCCAGTGCTGATCCCATGTTATTACTGGAATGAAGATTTGTGGATTTCATTCTTCATAAACTTCAACTTCCGTTTCTCGCTAACCCTCAACATGGCCTTCGCTGTAAACAGTTTCGCTCACATGTGGGGTTCTCGACCTTACGACAAGTAAGTTGAGAAAACTTCTTTGAAATTGTGCAGTTTGAATTAGTAGCCAACATTAACATAAATTCTATTATTTAGTCTTGACCTGTTGGGTATATTCCCAAGGTTCTTGGTGAGATGTTTACTCTTAATTGAATTTTGTGTCTTGGTAATGGTGTTGCTTGTGGTATTCTGAGTATTTTTAATGAAGATCACTAGTATCTCTTCTTACCAAAATAGAGTGGAGGTAGTTTGGAATAACTAAATTTTCAGTTGAAAAGAAAGGCTGTTTTTTTTTTCAATATTTAAAGTGATGAGAATAAGAAAACAAAGTTAAGCACTAAGATTATATAACATTTTAATAAAAAATAAGGCATAGTATGTGTATACAAATTAGTTGTACATGTAGATCAATTATTAATTTTTCACCACACTATGATGTTTTTAGCTGTTTTACATAACGGTACGTTAATTTGTGGCTGAAAATTACGTTTTGCTGGCCATGCCAGCTGTCATCGTCATTTGGGGACCGAGCAGGTTTTTACATCCCTATGGCCGCAAAATCAGCTGCCCGCTTACTTTCTTAAAACATGAATGCATATTAAATATACAATCAGTATCCATAGCATTGCAATAGAATTGTTTTATTGTCACTGCTGCCTAGCAACTATTTATTATTTTTGCTGATTCCTCAAATTATTTCTTTACATAACCTTAAAGTTGTAATTGCGTTGACTATCAGTGTGCATTATTATTGTGGTGAATAGTGGTAATAGGGTATAGTGTGGTGAAAAATAGCGTTCGTACCACGGACCAAAATGGTTTTGCAGCTCTCGTTCGTTTTAAGTTCTCGACTTAGTCTCGAACTTAAAAACAATCTCGAGCCGACAAAACCTCATTTTCGGCCCTAGGTACGAAATATACTATTTAACTCCGTTTTCTAGCAGCAATATCCCTACACTGCTTCATTGGTAACAAATCAGCTGGAGTATGTTTCTGTCTAGCAGGCAGATGTTGCAAGGAGTTAGTGTGTTTGTAGCTTGTGTAGCTGTCAACAATCTTCCCCAACCCTCTGCCACCCTTTGGTCCGTCACTTCACTTTCTCATTCTTTGTCTAAGATACATTTTGGTATTTTAATTTTCTCTATGGCATTTGGCGGTTAGTCAGTATTAAAAGTGTTTCTGTTGATAAAGGATCTGCTGTACTCTTATTTGTAAAATATATTTGAAGTGTGGCAATATTTTACAAATTTTCTAAATCAATATCTAAACAGTATTTTAACCAAATTGAAGTATGACTAATTTGATTTGAAGTACGACAGTTCCTTTTTCATGCCTATTTCACTATGCATTTGTTTGCATGGTAAACATGCTGGTTTCTCATTTCACGGATAGGAAGTTTTAAAAGATTATCCTCTTTTTTCTTAATAATGGGAATTAAAATGTCACTCTCAACTTAATCCAATGTGAATCTTTTGAGAAAATCACAACATAGATTAAGACACTAATGGATGAGATAGTGACTTGGACTTGATATGGACGTCAACATTTAGATCATCCACTACTGGGATGAGTTAGAGCAGTGATATTATTTTTTCTTTGAAATCACCATTGTAAGCTTTTATTTTGTGGCTAATCACAATGAACAAATAAATGTTGTGTATCACTACACTCAGTCATTGTTTCTGTTGCAGGAGCATCAGTCCCGTAGAGAACGTACTGGTGTCTCTGGGAGCTTTGGGCGAAGGTTGGCACAACTACCATCACGTGTTCCCCTGGGACTACAAGACCTCAGAGTTGGGCAAGTACTGCTTCAACTGGACGACAGCGTTCATAGATGCGTTCGCGCGGCTGGGCTGGGCCTACGACTGCAAGACTGTGAGTGAGTCGATGGTGAGGCGCCGAGCGGCCCGTAGCGGAGACGGCAGTCGTCTGTGGGGCTACGGCGACACTGAGATGGACGAAGCTGACCGCAGGGAACTGGACGCCTCCAGGTAGAGTGGCGACCGCAGTAACTCAGATGTTTCTTGTATAACAACTGTTCGACTCTATTGTCTGTCATTGTCACTTCACCTTGCCATGGATTAAGATTATCAATCACACATTGTATCCAATAGAGCGATAAGTTCAGTCTGCCAGTTACAGAAACCATTGCTAAGTGACTAATTATACTCAAGGGTGCTTCTGAGAAGTCACAGATTTTAGCGATTTTATTTTAAAAGGCTAAATCACAGATTTTACAAGGGCTGAATGTGATTTTTCATTCATGGAAATTGGAAGCTACAATTGAAAAGTGGGATTGTTTTTAAATTATGTTATTTATTTTGTTAAAAAATTGTCCTACATGTATACTCTTTCAAGATTTACTGAATGGTCAAATCATGAGTTTAACATTTGATGTTTTTTTTCTCGTTATAGCAGATAAACAATGACAACAGATAGTTCTGAATTGTAATTCTGTAATTGCCCCTGAAAAGTCATTATCTTGTATTTAAGGGAACTGGTAGACACCCGGCTTATGATTTCCTTAGGTTTAATTTATGAAAATGTAGAGAAGTAAATAACCTCACTTTAATTCAGGGAAGAAAGCATTCCTATTTTATTTATTTCTATAATAAAATACCAGTTAAATATTTATCTCAATTTTTTTAACACATTCTATAGGCTAGGTTTCTCCAGTGTGAGGGACAATTGTTAGGAATTAGCATAAGACATTCTGTTCCAATTTGTTGTGTTTATAACCATGTGCAACTGATTAATATTTATGTTTGTAACTATTGTCTACCAATTAAAGAAAAATTTAATTTATGATGCATTTAAATAAAATAACAAATTAATTAAAATACTTGTATGTTAACAAACCAATAAGTACTAATATACCAAATAAATATATTGAATCAATTTTAAATTAATCTGATGAATTGTTCAAGCATTTAAACTAATGTTAAATCCCTCTATAACTTGTTATAACCTTGTTTGTTTTATAGTTATCGTTAACGTTATGTGATTGATGTTACTTAATCAGTAATTTTACCACTACTATTTAATCATTGTTTATGTTTATCCACATTTTATTCAACAGCCGTACTATACAGGATAACGCTGTGCATTTAAACATATAATATTACCATTAAATGCCTATATATGTGCTTGATGAATTGTTGAAAAGTACTGTTAAAGCTTTCAATATGGAATTGACGCTAATACAGTTTTTCATTTAAATGCTGGCCTTACCTATGAAAAACTGATGTTTGTAAATATTTTAACAAGTATACACACTGTTTGATAAACTTTATAGTTTTATAAGAATTGTTTTGAGACTATATTTTGTAAGTGTTGAGCTACCTGGTAGTCTGTTATGTTAGTCTAGTCCCTTCCCGGAGAAGGCTATGTCTCTAAAGCAACTGCCAACTCTTGACTTGTGTAACTCTTCTATAGCTTTGTTCTGTTGTCGTCGTCTATATATTTCATGTACAAATTTATTTATTACATTTCATCTGTCTCATTGCAGGGAAACTGGAGCCTTAAAACTATCAAATTTTCAGTGCCTTAAACCGTGAAAAACTAATGACTGAAAATGTTTGTCAGTTAAGTTTTATAAACTTCATCACTGTGTAGCCTGTTTAGAATCAGTACACTACTGTAGACAGTTTTTTTCAATAGTATATTTCATACCTAGGGCCAAAAATGAGGTTTTGCCAGCTCAAGATCATCGAGAGCTGCAAACCCCTTTTAAGTAAATAGGCGAACAGCTGATTTTCGGCCCTAGTGCCGCCAAAACCTGCTCGGTCACCAAATGACAATAACGTGGAATGGACAGCAATATGTAGCTTTCAGCCTCCAATTAAAATTTGTAAAACGGCTAAAAACATTGTAGTGTGGTGAAGATATTGTTTACGTTTCCTTGAGGTTGTGTTTTTTACCATCTTGCATCAGAATTGTTGTAGCCTGAAGGTTATTGAGCGGCTGGGTAACTAAGTGGTTATAGTGCTTGTTTAACAATCAATCAGAAGGGTGTCTATTTTATTCTGAAAACATCAAGTTAGATTTTTGATGGTTCCAAACTGGGCCTAGCTGACCTTGAACATCGGGCTTTTAATAAATGTTTTGGATGAAGGAACAGCTGATCTTAGTCAGTTTACACTCATCTCATTCATAATTTTACACTCTTCTTGCATTCATTTGAACTTAAAATACCCACCTAGGTTGCTGTTTCAAAAGTATTGATAATGATAATCATAGTGGAACATTGATTGGCAAATCCTTCAAAACGTGTTGCTAAACAAGTTGTTTCCTTACACTGGCACCTGTAGTTGGTGAAAAGGGTTCACAGTGCCTTGCTATTAACCAAGCATTAAAAGCTCTGCAGTTATTAGCGATGTTTTTCTAACAATAGTAGAAACCTTAACAATCTTCATCTACCTCACTTTGTACAGCTGGAATGTGCAAATTCAAATAAGAAATTTAACCTGTTTTAAATGATGCAAATATTAACTGTTACTTTACTCTTTGAGAAGAAAATAGTACTTAATATTTTCTAAGGTCATAAAAAATGTCCACAATATGGTGAACATGTGGGTTACAGAGGGTTTCTATTACGGGTAAAATAACGTATTGTGTTTATTTTTCAGGCTCCAGTTACCCAGTGTAACTTGTGTAGTAGATAGTATTGGCCAGTTTTACTTGTTACTTGCCTGTCTAAGACTGCAACGTCAACCACAACATGTCAAAGATTATTGAACAGATTTCATTTAACCTTCCTTAGACATGTATTGTAATTCATTCACTTTGGGTAATGGCCGTGGAACAGTTTAGATGATTACTAACCAATTTTTCAGCCTCGATGTAAGGCTGAATGGGATGATCTTAAAGGGAATTGACTTCTGCATAGTGAAGTTTCATGTGGTTTGCAGGCTGAAGTTGTAGGTTATATCTGGTGGGGTGGGTGTCGGGCTTTCCATGAACCTGTTATATCCACTGCACATTTCTGGGGATGAGGGAAATCCTAACTCCCATCTCACCAGATAGAATCTACGACATCTCCCTGCAAACACCACTTTATAGTTTAAGATTTTACTGTGCAGGAGTCAAGTCTGCCTACATGGAATAGTGATGATGAGACATGGCCATTTTCAGAGGACCACGACTAAAATAACGAATATTGTATGATTAAAGACATTTTCCTACAGTTACCTAACAATGTACATGTTCTCTCACTGATTTTAGAAAGCAAAGTGGCCAATTCGCTCATCAGTGAGACAATGTTAACATTGTCTCACTCTAATTACTTTGTCTCACTCCAGATTTGCAACGTGAAGGCACGAAATAGTGAGTGTGTAACATGCAGACAAGGTCGTATGCGCGCGAAATACGTTGGCAGGACTGGCTGTAAATCAGCTGGTCAACTGTTGTACTGTTGTTGATCGTGTTGATCATTAAATGTCATATTAAAAGTTCACTTCTGTGTAAAAATATGTCACGTTTCTTTACTAATTTATTTGTTTTATTGTAACTGTAGGAAAAATATAATGTGCAACTCGAGTGCAAAGTGCAATTGCCTCACTCGAGAAACCATTCCTAAGGATTTCTCTCGAGTGAGTCAATTGCTCACTTTGCTCACTAGTTGCACAAATAACTATTTCTATTTATCTATTTAAAATAGATGTGTCTTTTTTAAGTGGTAAAAAGTTTACTCATGTTAATCTCAAACATTTATAAAAGAAAGTTGTGAAACCAAAGGAGTCGATCAATAAAGTCAGTTTGTGTTATCGTGCTGGTCTAGGACTTTAACTGTGAAATCCTGGTTTCAAATCCTATCAATAACTGATTTTAATTTACTATGTGATAATGCTGAGATTTATTAGCTTAGAACTTGAAAATCTCCCCCCGGCTAAAACATGTTGTGGTAGCGTAAAAGCCTTGTATGTATTGCCTTCTAAATGTGATCACTAAAGTGTAGTTTAGCGTTAATATTTTTATGCAAAACATATATTGTATTCTTGATAGTTATATGTGTACGTACGGGGATACCACTGACTCTGGGAACAATAACTGTACCTTCATGTTTCTAGCTGTAGATGTTAACAATAATTAACGTTATATTTCAAAGTGTGCATTTTGCAATTAAGTCAATAGTTTCACTGGTGTAAATCATATTAGCAGTTTAACAAGTGCTACAACATGAATCTTTATCATTACTATCACAGATTAAGCAATCTCCCTTGCAAGTTTATTATCCTTGTGGAGAAACTATAGATAAATAAATATTATTTTATGTAAGTGTTTATGTAAAGTTGTTTAATATTTGTTTATTGTTGTTTAATACAGTATACTTCTCATCAGGGCACTCCAACGTTCCCAATCTGAATCATCCAAACATTTTCAAAGTTTATAATAAGATGAGAATTTTTCTTTCACTATTTGAAGTCAATGGTATTTTTCCTTTTCATTCTTATATTACATATTACATCACCCTTGTATGAAGATGCCAACCGGTTTTATATTTGTAATATTTAACAATGTATATGAAAATACAGTATTATTATCAAATGAACTGTGGAGAGTGAGAATATTTAGGACCTGTCCACTTGACAAAGATTTATATGAAAGATTTACTTTTGTTCCGTTCGCTATCGTTAGTACTTACTAACCTACCTGTAACTATGTGATATTTAGATTTTTATAGAGATTTACTCGTGGTATCCCTGCTTATGTCTGCTTTGCTTAAAGTACTGCTATGACTGGATAATGTGCTTACTCATGTACTTACGCAGCTTTCACTACAACTAGTTTGTTAATGAAGAAGACTATGATTTTTGTGATTTTACTTAAGTGAATTAATTTTCGTCATGAGTTGCCTATTTATCAATTATGTTCCTAGGGCTTATATTAAATTACCTCTATACGATTGTGGCTAGTACATAAGATATTTCTGTGTTTACCACTTGTTAATTTATAGAACATAAAACTGCAACATCAATAACATGTCTGTAACTAGAACATTGATGCTGGTTATTTACTAATGATTCATAAAACATTTCTGTGTTTAAATTACTGCCAGATTAATAATATGTCAAATATTTCTTGGATACCAACTTTTTACTTTTACTTCCAATTTAATGAGATCACTGCTACCAGTCTCATTTTAATGGGGATTTTCTACTTTGTCAATTATTTTATTATAAAATCAGTTTTGTACTGAAGTATTTATTATGTCAATTATTTATAAGTCTTAGCTTGGATGAAAAGTTAAACTAGTGATGTGTTGAAAAAATTTTTCTTAAGAATTTGAACAGGTTTAAATAGTTTGATAGCTGAGTGGATAGAGTGCTTGCCTGGTAGTTAAAAGGTCCCCGGTTAAATCCTGAGAAAAGTCAGTAGCTTTTTGATTATAGAAATAAAGAAATAGGAAACAGTTGTTTGGTAATTCCATTGCTATTGACAATTTAAGTATAGTCCACTACTGAAAGGTTCACATTTTATTTGAGCACATCATTAGTTTGACTGAAATGGATGTTTTATATTAGCCTTTTATTAAAATGTAATACATCTTATATATTAAAAAACTTTTGCAAAACTTTTAACAGCTGGCCTGACCATACTACTGGACCGAATTACACACGGGTTGTACCAAAAGAAAGATTATCGGCCCTATATGTGCAAGTTTTATTTGTATTTTGAAAATAATTATGTTAACGGGGTCAAAAATGGAAATTAAACTTTTCTTATGGAGATTTAACATGGGGTTAATTCTATATATTAATAGACTAGCTTGTTTATTGAAATTTTTTCTCAGCTCCTGTGCATCGCAGGAAAAATCTACACATACTGCTAGAAAGATATTTGCCTGTAGATGTGCAGAATCCCTTTATAAATTAAAAATAGGCTAAAAAATTAGCACAAAAAATGAATTTAAAATTTAAAAAATAACATGGGTCTTATGGGTTGCCATGTTGGTGACAAAATGACAACAAAATATAAACAGAAAAACTAAGTACCCCCGCCGCAGCAAACCTGCAGACTAAGCGAATTTCCATTACCCTGACTGGATTCACACTAAAATGCCTCCATAAAAATAGCACATTTATTTCCCATTTAAAAAGAATTAGTTTAACGAGTACTTAGGTTTGCTGCAACAGGGAGGGTAAAAAAAGATTTTTTTTATAAAATGATAATAGTTTGGTAAGAAATAAAAGTATTTTCCAAAATCGATCAAAATATGTTCATAAACAAGCAAACTACAACAGTTTACTTATTCTCCATAAGAATAACATGGGAATTTTAAAATTACAATTTTTTTGAATTTTCTCCGTAACAATTAGGCGCATAATAACGCTTCAATATACTAAATTATTTGTTTTTTTAAGCTCTACAAAATGGTTAAAAAAGAAATTGTGAAATTTTGTGTTTTTAGGGTCAAAAATGGGAAAAACCTATTTTTACCCCATAATACCCCCGCCGCAGCAAACCTGCAGACTAAGCGAATTTCCATTACCCTGACTGGATTCACACTAAAATGCCTCCATAAAAATAGCACATTTATTTCCCATTTAAATAGAATTAGTTTAACGAGTACTTAGGTTTGCTGCAACAGGGAGGGTAAAAAAAGATTTTTTTTATAAAATGATAATAGTTTGGTAAGAAATAAAAGTATTTTCCAAAATCGATCAAAATATGTTCATAAACAAGCAAACTACAACAGTTTACTTATTCTCCATAAGAATAACATGGGAATTTTAAAATTACAATTTTTTTGAATTTTCTCCGTAACAATTAGGCGCATAATAACGCTTCAATATACTAAATTATTTGTTTTTTTAAGCTCTACAAAATGGTTAAAAAAGAAATTGTGAAATTTTGTGTTTTTAGGGTCAAAAATGGGAAAAACCTATTTTTACCCCATAAAACCCCCCATAAACCCCCGTTCCCATAGTCCGATCATGCTGGTTCGCGAACTCATTCAAGTTTATCGCGCCTTACACCTTCAAACCAAATTTTATCAAAATCGGACAAAAATTACTCAAGTTATCGTGCGGATGGACACATATATATATATATATATCTCTATATATAGATATATAAAAATTTGAACGAATGGTGTTTTTGGCCTCTGGGGACATCAAAATGAAAAAGTAAATCGGTCCCGGGCTTAGGTCTTACCATGAGACCTACGGTAATAGCTACTTCCCTATAGGGAAATTCGCTAAAACCCCCCATAAACCCCCGTTCCCATAGTCCGATCATGCTGGTTCGCGAACTCATTCAAGTTTATCGCGCCTTACACCTTCAAACCAAATTTTATCAAAATCGGACAAAAATTACTCAAGTTATCGTGCGGATGGACACATATATATATATATCTCTATATATAGATATATAAAAATTTGAACGAATGGTGTTTTTGGCCTCTGGGGACATCAAAATGAAAAAGTAAATCGGTCCCGGGCTTAGGTCTTACCATGAGACCTACGGTAATAGCTACTTCCCTATAGGGAAATTCGCTAAAACAAATGGAAGAAATTCCAATTACATGTTTTATTTACAGCTGGGGTGAAATTAGAGAAGTTTGCACAATACATACTTTTGGTCGTGTTTTCGACCACTGGGCGAGCTCTAGTTTATATTCTAAAACATATTGAACTGTTGAAATTTCTACCATCCATTGTTTATGGTAAAGTTAATTTTCACCCAACATATTATAGTTATTTAATTTCCTCCCTTCTCTCCCCCCCCCTACCAAAATTTAAGGAAGTGGACGCTTAATTAACAAAGGCATTTTCACTTTTAATTTGTGTTTTTGTTTTGTTAGAAACTAACAATTTTCACTTTATTGATGTTAGAACTTTGTTGTTGTTTTTACTTTTATATGCACTACATATTATGTGTTACACTACATTAAAATAGTGGATTTCCTTATTAACATAAAGTATTAACTGTTAGTGTTTTGTAAATATAATACCAACAAGACTTATTTTACAGAGGTTTCATTGCCTTTTTCACCTTGGTAAAGAATTCCTTATTTTGCCTCTTCCACTTTGAGGCTCAGTTTTAATTTTATGCTGTGAGAGATTTTGTAAAGTTTATTTATTTTTGTATAGCTTTATTCTTAATTGAGTTTTACTATTACAAACAGATGTATTCATCATTGTCTGTTGTGAGTAATAAAGTGTGTGTTCTCTAATAAATTGTTTTTATTTTCCTCTCTATTTTATGGGTTTTGTTTTACATTTACATTTTGATACAGAGTTGTTTAGGCCGGGACCACACTTATCTTATCTCGCTGAATTTTTTCCACGGGCATTACCCGTGGGTTTCAGAGAGATACATAGAGTGTGGGCAGGCCACACTAGAGTAAAAACGTCCGTGAACGCGTTTGTCAGTCTCGCTGGTTTTACCTGGTTTTAGCCTGAAAAACCTATCTCGTAAGACGAGTGTGGCCACGGTCAAACTCTTCCACGTGTGTCGCACGTGAAAACGGAAAAACCAATCTCGCTGGTTAAAAATTACAAGTGTGGCCCCGGCCTTATTAGACTCAGATGTGTAACTATTTGCATTGCATTTTAACATATACTAGTGTAAGTGTACCCATTGCTTGAAATTGAACAATTGCTAAGTAATGAGTTGGTACATTAAAACTGAGTAAATTTGACATAAATAACTTTCACAATAATTTTTGATTAATTTATCATGTTAGACTTATTAAAATAAAGTATCTTCTGGAAGTACTCGCTCTGTCAATAAAAGCTCTTTCTAAACAATATTTAGGCTAATGTAAATATTTTGTACCTTTTCGTAAGCTAAACTTGTTCATTAATGTTTCAGAAAATTTGTTTTTAGCTCTCCAAAGGAGTTTTCCTGCCTTGCAGAAACATAAAGTTGTCAATGTAAAAATTCAATAAAGGTAAATATCCAGCTGGTAATATTCAACCCTTGCTATGAACTGACCCTGGGCTTTATTAGTGTCGTCAAGCTCAAATTACCAATTATTGAGTTCTTTGAATATAGAATGGCAACATTTTATCTTATTGATTCAAATTTACTTTGGGTATCAGAGTTTGTTGCGTAAACGGTGTGAACATTGTTCCCTGTGGACATTACTTTTAAACAAAAAGTCCTTGTGAAAACTGTTGCAGAACAATTTTTGTCTATGAAACGAGAAAGAGTGTCAAACAGACTTGGACTTGGACTCTATGTTTGGTTTTTACATGGCTCAACAACATCTTATCGCTCAAAATTCCATTGGATTGTGCTGTTGTAAATTACCGACCACTGTTATTTACACCAAGCAAAACAGAAAAGAACAACTTATTGTAAAAAGAGGCACCTTTTATATCATATAATATTTTGGTATTAAAAAACAAAAGAAAAAAATATTTGTTGACAGCAGCCTATCTTGCCAAAGGCTCATTCTGCTATGTTCCATTTGGGAAAAAAATGGCTACAGCTGATCCTTAACACAACACCTCTTCCTACACAATTTGTTCACAAGTCAATGGTGAGTTCCACATGAACCTTCACAAGTTACCATAGTCAACAGTAAGTTCAACCTAAACTGAACACAAGTCAATAGTAAGTTCAACATGATTTGTTTACAAGTCAATAGTTCAGCATAAACTGTTATCAAGTCAGTGGTAAGTTCAACATAATTTGTTCACAAGTCAATAGTGAGTTCCACATGAACCTTCACATGATACCATAGTCAACAGTAAGTTCAACCTAAACTGAACACAAGTCAATAGAAAGTTCAACATAAACTGTTCACAAGTCTATGGTAAGTTCAACATGAACTGTTCACAAGTCAATGGAAAGTTCTGCATACACTGTTATCAAGTCAATGGTAACTTCAACATGAACCTTCACAATTTACCCTAGTCAATAGTAAGTTCAACATAAACTGTTCACAAGTCAATATGAAGTTCATAAACTGTTCACAAGTCTATGGTAAGTTGAAGTTCAACATGATTTGTTCACAAGTCAATGGTGAGTTCAACATGATTTGTTCACAAGACAACTGTGAGCTCAACATGAACGGTTAACGGTTCACAAGTAACCCTATGTTGGTTCTTAAAGCCAATGGTAAGTTCAACACGAACTGTTCACAAGTTACCCTATGTTGGTTAATATTGAGGACGCAAGCTTGTCTACTACAAGAGACAACAATAGTTGTCAGTCAACGGTATGCGACCCCTGGCTTCATTTGGAAGTCTGATTTTTGTTCTTCCTTTACATTGGCCATTTGGTGTTCATACATCGACACAAACGCAGCTCAGGTGGGTGGCCTTTTGATTATTAATAAAAAAACTTAGAAAACACTTAATTCAAGCATACATAATATATGTAAACTTGGGTCAATAAATACTACAAGCAATAAATATGATTAAAACATTGAAATATAATTTTTACATTTATAGAAATCTATTTAGTCCAATAAGCATTTAGGTATTTTAATTTTTCTAAAATTTAATTGCCTTTATTTAATGATTGAATGTTAGTTTATGTTAGTCTTCTGTAAGCACTCGTTTTTGTTATAAAATTCTTGTGGTTTGCTAATTTCAGATGTTTCTGTGCCTAATGTTAGAAGTGTGCCTGCACCCCACTAAAATTTCATTGGCCATGTTCACTTTCACATACAATATACATTTGTATATATAAATTTTCAAAAGTTACATACCAAGTTTGTTATTTTCTTTCAAATCAATAATAGTGAGGATAGCATACTAAAAATTCTCTATAGATAACACTCACATTAAACAAAATCTTTTGTTAAAAAAACAAATCGTATATTTTTTGAAGAACAAAATTATGAATTAATTGTGTAAAAAATTAGTGCTCAATCAATTTCCTACATGAAAACCCTCGATGTAATAAAAAAAATTCATTAATTCAGTCAGAGTTCAAGCACCTCAAGGAGATCCGAAAATAGATTTTTCAAATATACATTACTGGTGAATCTGAAATTGAGTAATTTATCTTTAAACTCTAGTCAAAGTATTCGGGACCAACTAAGAAATATCTTTTTTTAGGATGATAAATAGGTACTGAAAGTGAAATTAGGAAATGTAATTGGTCAAGAAGTATTTGTTGTGAAAGCATGTTTAATTTGCTACTACAATGTATCATTGACTACAATAGCTGAACATATTGAAAGTCATCTAATGTATATTCAAGAGTTTTGGCTACTTGAAGCTCAGCAACCACATGCATTGCTCTTCAAAATTTAGCCATATTTTAAAATCAAAGTGTAAATGTTTAACATTTTGGAAACTTTTAAATTTAATTCTGTAGATTTGGGCCCCTTTTAGCGAATTTCCCTATAGGGAAGTAGCTATTACCGTAGGTCTCATGGTAAGACCTAAGCCCGGGACCGATTTACTTTTTCATTTTGATGTCCCCAGAGGCCAAAAACACCATTCGTTCAAATTTTTATATATCTATATATAGAGATATATATATATATATATATATGTGTCCATCCGCACGATAACTTGAGTAATTTTTGTCCGATTTTGATAAAATTTGGTTTGAAGGTGTAAGGCGCGATAAACTTGAATGAGTTCGCGAACCAGCATGATCGGACTATGGGAACGGGGGTTTATGGGGGGTTTTATGGGGTAAAAATAGGTTTTTCCCATTTTTGACCCTAAAAACACAAAATTTCACAATTTCTTTTTTAACCATTTTGTAGAGCTTAAAAAAACAAATAATTTAGTATATTGAAGCGTTATTATGCGCCTAATTGTTACGGAGAAAATTCAAAAAAATTGTAATTTTAAAATTCCCATGTTATTCTTATGGAGAATAAGTAAACTGTTGTAGTTTGCTTGTTTATGAACATATTTTGATCGATTTTGGAAAATACTTTTATTTCTTACCAAACTATTATCATTTTATAAAAAAAATCTTTTTTTACCCTCCCTGTTGCAGCAAACCTAAGTACTCGTTAAACTAATTCTATTTAAATGGGAAATAAATGTGCTATTTTTATGGAGGCATTTTAGTGTGAATCCAGTCAGGGTAATGGAAATTCGCTTAGTCTGCAGGTTTGCTGCGGCGGGGGTATTTATTTATGAGCTTAGAATTTTAACTATAAAATTCAAGTATGCATCTCAGTGAAAATGAGCAAGAAATGTATTTCTCAGGGGATTAAAACTGTTTATTACTGAGTGCAATCCTATTTTGGAAAATATCCATTTGGGCTTTAACATTTGTTGACCAAACAGGAATTTACAGGATGAACGTATAGCCACATAGTATAGTTGATAGGTAAAGTTGTGTTTATACCAAAGTCTTCCACTAAGTTTTCCACTAGCTGCGGCAATTAGTTCCTTTTTCTACAAAATACAACAACTTTTTCTCTTGACCTTCACCGACACTCCGCAGGAATCCAAAATTTATTGGAAGAGTAGTGGAGGGACAGAAAAAGTTGCTGTATTTTGTAGGAAAAGCAACTAATTGCCCCTAGTGAAAAACTTAGTAGAAAACTTCGGTGTTCACACGGCTTAAGATCAAAGAAAGATGACAACTAAAAGAGGAAGATTTGTTGCTACATGCATTTTGCAAGCAACTTGTAGAAAACTAGGGGAGAGCTGTTCCCCCTCCATACACCCCAGAAGCGATGTCAGGTGTTTTCCACTTGTTGCTCTAAATTAGAGAAGAACAGCATTAAGTTTTCCACAAAAAATTTTCCACAAGTTACTCTAACTTTTAAAAGCAACTTCTTTTACTTGTAAACTTTTAGTTATAAACTTTGCTGTTAGAGGGATTTAGTTGAAGTTATTGGGCTTTTCTTAAAATTTGTCCAATAGTTGTAATATAAGTGGTTATAGTAAAGGCCCTCTGTCTTGGAGTCCAAGGTTCAAATCCTTTTAATTACCTGAGAATGTAACCTACATTAAGCTGCTTGAACCATGTGCTTTTTAGACCAAGAGACCATCTCAGTCCGGTCTGATGTGCAGTATGTAGTCCGACCATGTCTTTAGCAGAACTAGGTGGGAGAGGCCCAACTGCACTTGACAACTAAGATGGATTAGCTGTGTAAATCTCACCTCAAATGAGACATTTTGTTACTTTTTTTATTATATGACTAATTTGACTAAGTGTCTAGAGCCCCCTCCCCCCAAATACCCTTTTGAAAATAACTTTGATTTTTTATGTTCATGAGATGTTGAAAATAATGATCCTGTGTTTAGCAACACAGGAAAAATGATGAGTTTCAACATATGGAAACTCCTACCCCGTACAACTGGTCATTATCTGGTTAAAATTAGTTATAAGTTTTTCTTACTGGCAGAAAAGTATTCAAGACTACATATTATATTGAAACACTTACAAAGCATAATTTTAAATTTTAGTTTGCAGAACTACATGTGTTAGCAGCTAAGTTCAGTTAAGTCTAAACAAACGTGGTATAGGTACCTCAAGATGAGTGGGGAGGTACTGAGTGAGACTGAACCCTCGTGTTCCAAGGAGACTGTGAAGCCTATACAGAGGGAGACTAACTGGCCAGTTGTGCTGTTCTACATTTACCTACATACCTCCGCCATCTACGCTACCCTGCTCATCTTTACACAGGCTAGCTTCTACACCACTATCTTCTGTAAGTGGCAAACCAGTAAAAACCATATTAACGAGAGTTATGCAATGAACGCTAAACCTTACAAGTAAACTTTTCATCTCATATGTTGGTAAACTAAGGCATTTTTAAATGAGTGATTGGAGGATGTAAACCTTATTTCTAAGCACCCTAGTTTTACACTCTTTATTTTATGCCTCAGAGTGGAATTCTGAATGGGATGGCCCCCGCAGGAATTCTCCTTAAGAAGGGCAATACAGAATCTTTGTTTTGGGTTTGGAAAATTTCCACTTCCACAAATAATTTAATTTTAAATTATTTGACATCATTGCTGGTTCTTTTAAAGCCAAAATCGTCTATAAAAAACTTTGAAACATACATATTTATCACACAATCGCTTTAAAATTTTACAGATCATAGTGAATTATTTAGATTTAGATTTTCTCAAGAGAGGGAATGGCCTCTTCTGCCCCCCTGTGGCCGCCTATGCCACAAAGTTAATCAAACTTGAGAAACTTGATGAACTACAGCACCATCTTTAACTTACCAAGGATCAAAGAGTGCTTTATTCCTCATCAAAATCTGTGTCGTAAAGTAAATGGTATGTAGTCTACTCAGACTACCCATGCTTCCTGCATCCTATGTCCACTTTGTCGGTTCTTTACTTTAGATAACCATTCCCCTATGGTCATTTATGGGATCAGTGTGAGTTGCCTTCTGTCTAAGCCCAGAGTATAGGCAAATATTTGAGACAGAGAGGAGAAAGTGCCGATGCATCACCCACCTCCTTCTAAGCATTTTTCATGTGAGATTCGTGTTGTCATCACTTGTTGCAGCTGCCCTGCTAATGTTCCTCGGCACCCTGAGCATCACTATCGGTTGTCACAGACTCTGGGCACATAACACATACAAAGCTGTCTGGCCACTGAGACTGCTGCTAGTGATAGCACACACACTCTGCTGTCATGTAAGTATTGTGTTGTGTTGTATAATTCATGATAGCAAGTAAGAGATCACAAGAAAAATGTCGGTGCTTCAAACCTATCAAACGAATCAATTCAAATTTATTTGATTGCCCTTAAAATGTAATGCTAGATTGCTGCTATTGTTGAAAAAAGATTGTGAAACAAAATATTAATGTAATTTATGAATCTAACCAATCAAGTTAAATGATACTATAAAATGTTTGTCTTTTGAATTAGTTAGCTTAAAAATGGTAAAATATAACTAAATGGAGACGCAACAATTCATCAAGCTCACCCTTTAAACCCTAGCTTATTTTTTATCCAAGCTCATGGTGGAAAAGCCCTGACTGAATAACTAGCCAATCTTAGTAGATAGTATAACAAAGTTAAACAATGTACGTCAATCCACTCTACAGTCATCCTTTCATTCATATTTTGGTTACAACACGCCCGATTATACGTCATGTTAGTTATTGGTACGGATAATTTGTTGTAATTTGCAATGTTTCCGCAGGGGACAGTGTATGATTGGGTGAAGGAGCACAGAGCACATCACAAGCTGAGGGATACGGAGTTGGACAAGTTTGACTACAAGAAGGGCTTCATGTTTGCACATCTGCTGTCCCATTGTAACAACACTGACTCCAGGATCACAAGAGAGGAGGACAAAATTGACATGAGCGACATTGAACAGGACAACATGGTTATGTACCAGAAGAGGTAAATATTCCTAGTTTACGCTTCACTAACATAATCATCCATTTTGTAGCTCCTGCCTCCAAAGTGTGCTGTGCTAAAAAGCCTCTTCTATACTCTCTGATTAATAATTTATTTTTGTAAAAAAATACAACCGACTTCAAACGCTCTAAAAAGAATGAAATAATTTCAATAAAGTAAACTTTTGTATTAGGCAAGCTCACGTATTTTAAGTCAGCGCGGCTCTATGATGATTTTTGATACAAAATTAAAAGAGGGTGTCCATATTGCAGGTGACTATCAAGGTGTTAATCTGCATGTCTTTTTCATAGTTATACGTTAAGTGTTATTTTATTGCCGTAATCAGAGATCGGAATTATAGTGGTATTAACGAGTATCTTTAAAAAGATTATAACGCATTTAAATGTTTCTAACTTGGAAAAGTAACGTTTTAATACTAAACTAGCTTCTTTTCCCTATCATAATATCAAACTAAATTATTTTCCTCTTTATATAGAACATTTGTGTGTGTTATTTTCATAATGCATTTATTCTGAAGTAAACATAAAATACAAGAAAATATTTCCTTTAATATATAAACAAAACAGTTCAGTATGTTTTTTATATATTTAAGTTATCCAGCTACAATTTATTGATTTTCAAAATACACACACAGTATTTAATTTCAATCATATTTGCAGTTTGAGCCGCGCCAACTTGAAATACGTGAGCTTGCCTAATACAAAAGTTTACTTTATTGTAATTATTTCATTCTTTTTAGAGCGTTTGAAGTCGGTTGTATTTTTTTACAAAAATAAATTATTTCATGATTTTTAGTGACTGAACGTCTCAAGCCTTTTGGAACAATATGAAAGTTATTCCTCAGCTACCAGCACTAAAAAATCTCTCAAAAGTGGAAAATTGGTCGTTAACACGTATAGTACCTTTGGGAAATATTATATGAAAGATTGGTTCAGCTAAAAGTGGTGTAAGTCATGTAGGGGGTTTTGTTTGCTCAAGATATAGCCTAGTCGAAATTGCAAATCATCTTCCTCTAGGACTTTCCGAAGCAGGCATAATAGTATTGATATGATATAGTAACTGGGTAGAGAATATCAATACACATTCCACATCTGCAAATGCATGTTTAGTAATTATTAAAATATTTAACACTTTTAAGACAATTGACGATTATGCACTGTCACACGTCTTAGGTCGTGTAAGGAATAATTGCATTTAATTTATATTTAGACCTGTTTTACGAATGCTTTGGTTTTCACAATACACCTTTATTTGTCAATATCATACAGCTATTCACTGAAACATATATGTTTTTGTAAGTCAGAATATTCAATACTAAAAACAGAATTACTGTATACACAAATCAGGTCAAACGGTAAAATACATTTTTTTATAGTAACCAAAACAAAATGCATTTTTCTCAATGTAATTCATTTAGGCTCGATGGCAAGAAATAGTTTATTGATCAATATGAAGCAACCTTTCATGAAGAATTGTCTGTAGCTTCATTTAAATGGTTTCAACTAACAGCTGTAGGAATGTTATTATTATTTATTGCCTTCTCTGCACAAATGTAAACAATCTGCACAAATGTAAACAAAATAAATGTTGAGTATTTAAGGTTTTCAGAATTTTTCACCGAAACAAATATTATACTTAAACATAATATATAAGGTACCAAATAGAAACTCTCCTGGTGATTTTGGTGGTGGAACCACACTGATCGGTAAAAGAATCACAGAGAAATTGGTGAACATACATAGAAAAAAAAAAAACATCGCCACAAACAAATTGAGAACCTCCTCCTTTTGTTGGTAGTGGGGAAGTCGGTTAATAAAGGAAGCACAGATTAGCGATTAAAAAATGTATTTATTGGCAGGTAACAGTATCCGACCAGGTACCAGGATCAGAATCAGACAGAGCCACCGACTCATTAATAATTAAACTTTTTAATTTATTTTTGGAAAATAAGCAAATAACATAAAAAATGTCTCTAGCCAAATAAAAATATGGCCAATTTAAGGCAGGTACGGTAACTCTTTTCATTTGAGGATCACAGAATAGAACATTATTCTTGAATTTTAATATGTTTAAAATATTTGTACGTTTGTCTTGCCTATCCATAACCTAGGTTGTACTGGATCGTGATGCCCATTGTTGGGCTCCTGCTGCCTATCAACGCTCCAGTAGAGTATTGGGGAGAGAGTATTCTAGTATCAGTGTTTGTGGTGGGGATGTTACGTATAGCAGTACTGTGGCATGCATCGTGGCTAGTCAACTCTGCCAACATACTTTGGGGCTTGGACCCTGTCGACAGGTAAATCACAATACTTTTTGCTGTTGGTTTTATGAGTGATGAACTCTATGAGCTCCAGGGATTCATGCTTAAATTATTAATGTTCCCTTTCATCTGAACACAAAAATCTAATTCCGTTTAAATAAATTCTTAATGGACACATTAAGGATGAGAAAAAATAAGTGGTAAAAGGTCTGGTATGTGCAATTTATAATGAGTCCACTTATGTCAATTTCTACCCGAGTCACCATGTATTTTAGGCGATGTTCTTTCACCAAGCTCTTTCACCACAGGCAGTAACTCCTCATGAGCTGCACACCAGCCATTTTTGCTGAGTTATACCATTGACTATTGGATACCGTAATGAAGTTGAATCAATTATCAAAGGTTATACAGTAGAGTCCCGAAAACTCGGCGTAATGTGGATTGGAAGGGTGCCAAGTTTGTGAAATGCCAGATTATTGGAAACTAGGGTTAAAAATAAGATCAATACAATTTTAAAGCTTTTTAACCGCCTTTTTTATATAACAAGCCAGTATTAAGTGATCAGATATAGTACAACAAATCCTTGGTACAGATTTGTGAATTATATGACTTGACCTGGCTTGAGTCAATGTTTAACTCGGACACAAAAAATCACTAATTATCTTAGCCAGGTGATGGCCGAGTTTTCCAGACTGCCGGGTTATCGAGTGCCGAGTTTGCGGGATTCTACTGTACTAGCATAGGCATTTGTAAGTGTAAGTTTGGCTATGTATTGTTGTGTGTTGTATATATGATTTCAGTCAGAAACTACTATCATTGACTTTATATCTTACTATATAACGTCAGGATTTCATATCCCCTCAGTTGAGACTGCACCTTAAAATTGTGTGTTGCATGTTTTTATCATGATAATGATAATGCCATTAAGGCTATGACATTTCCATTACATACAGCTATAGTGGGTTTGTGAAATCCTATGGACAATAATTTAGTTGTTTACTGGAGTTGGTAAATGTTCGCAATGATCTTTTAAACAAGAAATGTGAACACCAACTATAAACTTATTTACCAACTTCCAAAAATGGACTTTAAACAAATAGTTCTTTATTCTTATTTTGCAGGAAATCCGGTGACACGACACTTGTGTTTTTCGTCAACAAGTCGCTGTGGCCGCAATACCATTACCTGCTGCCATGGGACTACAAATCTGGCGAGTATGGGACGTACGGCTCGGGTGTGTCTACGGCAGTGATACGGGTGGCGGCTGCTCTGGGGGCAGCTTACGACCTCACCACCTGCTCCAGCGACGGCATCAAGAAGGCTCTGACAGCTGCGAGTACCACTGGGCGACCTGTTATAGAATGTCTGGACGAGAATAGAAGCACCTCTACTCTGACCGAAATACTCGACTTTAAACTACACTCAGCGTAGAAGGCAATCTTCAGGTCTGGGATGGAGATGTACTCACTGGATCAGTAATGTCTACTTATATAACTGATGATAAAAGATTGAACGTGTTTTAAAATATTAGCAAATTATTTAGGAAGATTTTATCAGTTTTTGAATAATTTTGTACTTGTCATGGGCAGATCCACGGCGGTAATAAAACACTATAAATTTATAAGACATGGCATGGTTTATATTTTACTCTATGTCATGCCTTCTGATTGCCCAAAAATACAAACATTCCATCCCCCTAGGTCCTAACCCACAGTTGGCTGTAGCACCCTCTTAAACGATTTGAAAGCAGCCCCTCCTTTTTAAAAGGATGGATTCGCCCGTGTCACTCGTAAAAAAAATTTTTTTATTGAAACAAATGAGTGCAATTTAAAAAAATTGACTTATTTTTGCACAAAAGGTGTTATTGCATGATTATTTAAAGATTTTGTTTCTTCCTGTCTTAAGCATTTGATCAACTTTTAAGCTTGTTGAGCTATTTAATCATTGTAAACTGTTTGTGAAAGTTTTGTTTTAGCTTCAAAAAAATTCCAGTAAATATAAAGGCATTTACTTTAATTTGTAAATAATAATGGATCACATGAATTCAGTATTTATCTACTGATAAAAACGAATAAATGTTAACTTGAATTACCTGTAAATCAAAATTGGCTAAAATATGTTTCTGCAAGTTACAAGTAATGGTATAAATCATGTTTTTCTCTTGAACTGATTCTAACAATAGAAAAGTTGTGGAATTTTTTTAACGGGTTTTGAAATAATAACAAGAAGAATGAAAGATAGGACAACACTCGGGTGTATGTTCAAGAATGTGTAAATTTAAATGTAATAAAAATCAGAATTTGTTAAGTAGTTACTGGTTTCAAAAAGAGAATACAAATTATCAAAACTTACTTATTTATTCAAAAACAATTTCAAAGATTGAATCTACACTTAAGCACTTAAGCTTTATAATCATTAATTGTCTAGGTTTAAGGTTGTATTGTTTTGAATTTAAGTAGTTTGACACAACATTAATTTATTTCTAGATTGTGATTATTTCATTTGTAAATATTTCATTTCTCGTAATTGTTTGAGTGTTAGTAGTATCAGTTAGTTATATAACTATGTAAATGGTGTATTTTTGGTAACAATAAAATTAAATACTTTACAGTTTTATTCTTATTCATTAGTAAGTAGTACCAAATGTCACATTTATTGCTAAAATTTCTTGACGTTTGTCATCGTCATGGGTGGGTTTGAACATCTCTAACTCTTTGAATTCCATGAATTTTTCAGTGCTTTAACTATGTATATTTTAATCATGTTTTCCCTCATTGATAAAAAAAAAATACGGTTGAAAAAAAATCATAATGTACAGTAGGTACATAAGGTTAAGGATGAATAAAAACAGGAGATGATTGGTAAATATTTATTTAAAACATCGATTTAACCGCCTGTAAAGAACGATTTGGCTGAGTATATACAAGCCACGAGACGAGGCATAACGATATTGCAATGGCACTTGTAACTGGGTACAAAACTGCTGGGTCTCAGCTTATTACTAAACTAACCTACAAACCAGACTTACGATAAATTCACTTGTACTCGATAAAACTATAAAAAATATATTTGTACGTCTTCAGTTTAAATATGCGCTCTAGGCACTATGTTTAGTTACTCTTTTTCCCTAACCACCTGCTTTACCTCTTTCATAAGCAGCTAAAATAAAAACATCTTAATTTCTTAGAAAACCAAAAACCTTAAATGAACCTTGAAAAAGAAGATACATCTGGACTTTTAACAGGTGTTGATTTAGCTTGAGTTAGAATCACAGAAATTTTCAGCGCAACAAACTAAAAACTTATCTATCTAGGTTAGTTATGAGAAAAATTATGACAGCTTTTTAACAGATAAAAATCAAGTTGGTAAAAACAGGAAAGACAGTCTTGAATGCATTATTAAGAAAAATATGATTATGTAGGTTCTTGATTACTTAAGAAATCAAAGAAAACCAAAGCAGCCTTGGAAAACGTGTAATTTTTGTAACTCTATTAAGGATGAAATCCTGTTCAGAAAAAATCTGTTTATCAAAAATAGGGTTTTCGAAATAGATTCTCAATGGTGTTTTGCATGCAAAAAACAACACGGAGGCTGAGACCCAAGCTAGTAAACGAAAAGAACATATTTTTCTAACCTAACTCAAAACATTTCAATTACAACATCAATATAATGAATATCAAAAAAACTAAATAAACATTACAAATACGAACTAACAAATAAATGTACTAATGTTTAACTAAAACGTAACCTCTAGAATGATAAAATCTCAAGAATAAGTAACAATAGAGAGCAAAGATGATAATGGGGCGCCGGATTCTCTCGCAAGCACCGAAACCCTCATTGCACAATGGCCCCGACGTATCCTTCTAAGCATTGGCAAAACACAAACCGTACAACAGAAAAGGAAACAGTAGGTTTTTACTTTGGCATTATCATTGTTTCATTTTGTTGTTTCATTACTTTTCGTCTGATATAACAATCACCTGAAATTACTTCTACCATATTAGATCCAAGACATCCCAAGGTGGATCAGCTGTAGCCTAGTTTTGATTCAAATGGAACATAACTGTTGAATGAATGACTCACCTAGTGCACTGCTGTCTAAATTATATTTATTCTCCTAGTTTTTCGTACTATGTTAGTTGATACTATAGTTTAGAATAAGTTGTCCTCTCCAGTTCAGATTAGCTACAAGTTTGTGTTCCCATCAGAAATCAATAATTTACAGCAAGTTGAAAAGTGAAAACTCAATTCAATTACATTCACTTTATTCTAAAATTGGCTACAACTATATTATGGGGATGGAATGTCTAGTTATATTCATAGTCAACGTTTCTACTAAATGTACGTTTTAAAAATTTCTCACTGAGCAACTCCTTTTAAGATGTATTAAAAAGAAAATATTTTCATCTGATTAGAGGAATTTAATTTGCCACACTTTAATGTTTTTATCTGTAAGTTTAATGTATTTTTTCTATTTTAACTACCTACTTGTTGTAGAATCGGTTTTGCCAATGTGAAGACGTAATCTAATGTGAAGATTTTTTTAGATTAATTAATTGGCAATGGACACCAAAATAGTCCCATTGATGCAGCACATAGGTAAAATAGTGTACGTTTAAATGTCTACCTCGATGCTTTACTACTGCCTGATGATGTATGATTTATTTATTTATTTCACCCGTTCCAGAACTTAAATCACTAAAGAACAAACTCTAACCACAATCCGTATAAAATCACAAAAACTTTCCTGGCTCAAGAACCATTAATATACACCATCACATTTTGCGTGTAAAACCATCTGCAGATATAGCTAATGCGATGGGTCTATTTTGGTATCCATGGTCAATACGTTTGACTTTGATTAGAAATCTTTAACAATAATATATAACATTTAATAGTTTTAGTTAAACTAATCTCAAGAGTGCTGGCCTTGTGGATAACGTTCTCTAACAACTAAGACTCATGTCAGTGATGAAATCTGTCTTGTTTTAACAAGACTAAGAAACACAAATAGAAATATCAAAATGCTATTTACAGAACAACTATGTTGAGATTTTAAATAATTCCAGATCTTCATGGTTAAAAAGAGAAGTATTGCCACACTTTGAAAGGACGGAATACTTTAGTAATAAGAAAATCCGTATAAAATATATTATGTAAATCAATTTTTTCTCAAAAATAGGAGTTACAAAAATAATATATAACTTTTTACACTCTTTTCTCAGATAGTCAAGTAGAAAAACCTATGTTAACAAAATAATGTTAAACCATAATTAATAATTTTTGTTATAAATTGAACTACTTAATCGTGTTGGTTGCATGATTGCACTCATTAAGTGTGGCGTAGCTGCCTAGAAGCCTAAAGCTAAGTACTTGACACACAATAAACACTATGGCTTACAACAAAAACCTCAACGCTCTAAATGCTGCCATAATTCCTAAGATTTGATTTTAAATTATATAAAGCTAGTATTTTAGATAGTTAATAATATTTACAAATCTGGCATCTTCAGAATCGTCAGCTTAGCTTACCAACAACTAACAAGGTTAACAGAAAACAGAAGATCACCATGTAAGTAGCCTTGTTAATACTGGTCGATGTTAAGTCGCTTAACCCACCGACCTTACACAAAAACAATGATAAACCTGTGTTATATTATAAAATCAGATTATGTAATCAGGGACTTAACTTTCCCCAATAAGATAACAAACGTATCTACTATAATATTACTTCCAATGATCCTAAGGTTTTTAAGCAAAAATTTATAACAGATTCAACTGAAACAACCATAGAGTTATTTGGTGATCGACCTAAATATCATCTAAAGTGTTGATGGCAGCGAGAAATAGATGATTTAAATGAAAACAAACATAAATACTAACAAAAAAGTAAGAGGGGATTTACAGTTTTAGACTCATCAGTCAATTAAGCTCATTTGAAATAGTAAAAATCAAATATACTCCATGAAGTAAAACATTAACTAATCTCATAGAATGTGATCATCGCTTATAGAAATTTGATGGCACATTGCCGAAATAAAATTGTCCTGTTTTGCAGTTGTACCCGTAGATGTCACGAGTACTTATAATTTTTGTTTAACTCAACACAATGTAAGTCCAAAGAGTAACACTTAATCCTAGAGTAGTTTGGAAGCGTGTTAAGCGACTGGTCGAGGTCGTGGATGGAGTGGAGTGACGTCCGCAAGTTATGGGCGTGCGTTGTTAGCATCTATCACGCCAAGCCTACCGTGGTTAAACAAGAAGAAAACTGTTAGTGACCATATACTGTATTATGTACACTAAGATATGTAAGCCTCCCAGACCAGTGTCATGCAGCCTACACCTCAGTTACGAGGACAGAAACTCAAGTGAGAACACTTTGGTTATTTCAGATTAGGGTCGGTAAAAGTTTACAAAAAATATCTGACAAATGCGTTATGAGATTTAAATGTCGGGCTAGTGACTTTGACTCTACAGGCCAAGCATTGACGGTTTAGTGTTGGTTAGGTGGGACATGACACTAGTGTGAGAAGTCCGACAAGCAAGGTGGACAACTTGTATCTGCAGAGAACGCCATGCAAACCTGTGTTTGTAAGCTGAGCGGGTTAATAGCCACAACGACAAACCAGTTTGCATGGCACCGGTTAATAAAAGGTAATGAAATGGGATCGGAAGTTTTTTAATGGGTTGAACTAAAAACTGTGCGGTAAGATATTAGATAGTAGTGATATAAAATACCCAAACACCAGCTAAAATTAGAAAGGGTTAGTGCGGCCGTCTCCTCTCGGGATGGACTGGAAGAGGAGTAAAAAATAAAACAATTTAAAGAGCATTTTCTTTTATTGTTTAAATATTTTGTATATTCTCTCGATGGCTCGGCACCACGATATTTACATAATCCAGATTCTTGCAGATACAATATATCTCCTTACGTGTACAGAATACAAAATCGGATCGACAGGGAGAAGAGAAGGAGGACTCGTTGATGCGCGACTGGATTGTTCGCTCTTAAAATCTACAGACGGCTACTACATAAGCGTTTAAATAATGCCGACTAAACGAAAACAGACTAGCGTTTGATTACCGAGTCCTCCTTCTCTTCCAAGGGCCAAAATGTTTTGTTACACTCATAAAGCCCTCATGAAATAACAAACGGTAAAGAAGAGAATGCCAAACGAAACGAGAAATCGTAAAAGCATCGCACCCGGACGCTCCGCATTCGGAACGACGAATATCACAGATAAAGAACAATAACTTTTAAACAACGTGATGCGCGGGGGAGAATCGATTACCCGAGAAAATAAAGCTATTTGATTCCGAGGACGACTATACGAACGAGAATAAAATCTACTAAACATGTAACAAAACATCTCAGCTAAATAATATAGTATAAATAATTTAAAAATAAACATTTCACCAACATACAAAATATCGAATATAAAAATGTACAGACAGTGAAACTAACCTTCACTGAGAACGAGTATTATTTCACGAGAGAGCCCCAGCCCTTTGGTACGGATGCTCTCTGATCTGACCCAAATGGCGGCGCTGCTTAGCTACAGCAGCCGCGGCAGCTGCACCTGTCGCAACATCTTTACTGGTAACAATCGGTCACTCCATACATATACAACTATACAGCACTGCATCGGAATTGCATTCATTCTAGAGGGAAGGATTTTAAAACTGTATGACGTCATTTCTGAAATTGAGATATAACTTTTAATGCCATAACAAATAGTTATGATGAAACTGGGTTTCATCAAAACATTACAAAGGATAATATTTTTACATTACTAAAGTTATTGCTAAACAAAAATGGTTGTCTCAAAAACTAAAATTGTTAACAAGGCCGTGTTTCTTAACAAACAAAAGAAAAATATAATTAAAACTTATCCCTTAATATCTCATAGGTATTCAATTCCCACAAACAATCATGCCGTTCCGATGCAGCATGAAAAACAACAATATACAACAAAGTCGATAAAATAATACTTAAAATACTAACATATTCAACATGGAAAGTGGCTAAAGTACCTACAAGTACACAATGATACATAGAATATGATAACTCATAAATATAAAAATGCAACTAGACGTACAAAATGGCCTCTCTACACAGTTGGTCCCTGGCTAGGTTAGTGTTTAGTCAGTTACGGAACACGCAAGCCAAGGAATCGTCAGTCTCGTCAATGTAACGTGGAAATGTTCCTTTTCATTAGTAGGCTAAGACTACAGTTTGTTGGTTGTTCAGTTCAAATCAGCCTTAGGAACAGAATAAAATGCCTTCAAGTCATGGTGAGGTTACGTCTAACGTCTTACTGTCAAACTACGCAAACTAGTTTTGATCTGAAAACACAGCTCTGGTACTTATAGAATTATGGTTGAAGTATTAAATGGCACACGTTACGTTTAGTTGTTAATTTTGTTATTGGGGACCTTAAATGGAATACGTAGTACTCAAAGTGGACGGCAAAATAAACGGTATTGAAATTTGAAATTATTGTGTTACATTATTTGAGGAAAAACATCAGTTGAGGTTAAATAAACTGGATTTTAAAAATAATTTGGTGCTTTTTAGTGACTTCACAATCCACACGGGGATGGTTAATTATTTTAATAACAATGACAAAAAATTTACCTCCCTACTAAGGACACTAATTTTGTTACGGTTATTAAAACAAAAAACAAATTTGTATACAAGTTTTCTCTCAAATAATACAAAGAATACTGACAAAAATACTTAAATGAGTCAGAAAATATTTGAGATCTATAAAATGTCAACAGAAGGCTGTGTCAAAAAGCAGTCCTATGACTAAAAAAAGCAACGACATTCACAACCATTCATACCATAAAAAAACCTGACAGCTAAAAATCGAATAATCGATGCAGAACAACAAAAACACTAAAACCATCTAATTACAACATAACTCGATAGGATATAATCATATATAAAAATACTAAAGCTAAATATATAGTAAACCCTCAATACACATTAATACTTAAGCAGGGCAAAACAGATAATTTAAAGATGTTTCAAATTATCAACAAGGGACTTCAACATGACATGACTCAATGATGAGAATGGTGGTGGAAGAACAATAAATAAAAAAGAGTAAGTGTTGAACTAGATAACGGATTACTTAAAATATTAAGCAATGGTAAACTGCTTTTGTCTTATCAAAATTGCAAAATATTAATGGTAATAAAAATCGGAATTTTTTGCCAAAAGTTGAAAGTTAAAGACAGTATTGCGCTGACTCTTAGTCAGAGGTCAAACCTGATTCCAAACTGTTTCGTCTTACGTCTTATGTTGTCTATGATTACACTTTTACAAGCTTGATGTTAAAACTTAAAATGATCATTGCAGTCAACAAAAGCTGAAATGTTAAACATTGAACTGATACGCTGAAGTCCCAATCTTACAGATAAGATATAAATATGGTCGGAGGTCGGGCGCATTATCGCTGATCCATCCAGTATCGGTGCCAGTGACTCGGGGGATATATCAAACCCCAGGTACGTCCCACAGCTGCTCTGCAAGACACGTATGAGATGTACGTACAGGCGTACGTACGGACGTACGTACGATAGCTAGGCTAGTAAGGGGGGCTAGCAGAAACATTGCGGGACCAGTCGCAGCGTGTACGCACAATTCACCAGATCTGATACAGTGAAAAATCAACATTAGCCTACCTTACTAGCCTAAACAAACACTTCTTCATTCCTCTCAGTTTTAGGGCTTATCGACTGTTTAAAATTTTGAAATCACTATAAAAACACAATACCTTCCCTCTTATTTGGACAGGAGATTAGAAAATGATCTGGCCAGATAAACCGATGTGGTCTAAAACTCATTATGTTTCCAAATCACTACAAAAATAAAAATGTTAGAACAACTAAAGGAGAATTTGATACTGAACAGAAAAGTAAAAGCCTATTCTTTGGAAAAGCTTTCAGCTCATATTTTTTACTAATCTATCAGTTAAAGAACGTCTTTAAGAAGTTTTGATAACAAAGACTACAGTTGTTAAACCGACGTCCCATTGAAAAGTAGGTACTGTAGCGGTAAGAGGGAAGGCCACTGTAATGGTAGATTATTTTGAATCTTTTACAACAGAATAAAACTTACTGGCAATTGTTTCAATTATTCATATGTGTTGGTGAACTGTGGCAAAATTAACACAAGATTACCAGTTTATACTTTAACCCTCCAGCAGAGACAGGTCATCAAAGTCAAGTTGAAAAATTCATTTTTTAAATAAAGTAGTATTACTTTAAATAATATATTTATAGTTCCCTATAGGAAAATTTATAAAAAGAACAACTTTAAACAAATTAAATTTCCCAATTGCTCTACAATAAAAAAATGTCAATATCAAAATTTATATTAATGCCGATTTGCTTGAGATAATTAAAAAATATTGCAATTAGTTTCTGGCTGTCAAACTAACTTGTAAATAGCCTATGATTAGATTTTAAAAAATTAATAGCAAAATATTTTTTCTGTCCCCAAATTTGTATTTGGACCTTCATTAAAATCTCCGAGTTTCAGTTCATTCCTCTAAACTGGAGGGTTAAGTTGTAATGTAATGATTGATTATTGTTATTGTGTTTTTAGAAACAAAGTTTTAAAGAATGAAGAAGTGATTAGGAAAAACACTGTGTATATGTTAAGATATGTTAGTAATTTTTATATTTTACATGTTTTAAGAAGTTTATATTATTTTTTGAAACTTTTTATTGCTTGTTATGTTATATATATATTTTTAAAGACAATCATTATAAGCCATAATGGTGAAAGGAAACTACTGTATATAATTTGGAATGGTACCAAAAAAAAGAATTAAAAAAAATTGATAAATTTAACAATTAAGTGTTTGTAAATTAAGACATTTAAAAGAAGAAACAAGAACATACAGATTTAACAAAAAATATCTTCCTTGCACAAATTTAAAAAAATAAAAAAATTACATGTTATAAAATAAATAATTATGGGGGCTTTTTATCACCAAATTTGAAGTAAATGAGTATCGATAACTTGAGTTCTGTTTTTGTTTGGTGATCTATATTTTATAAAGTTTCAATTCTAGTAATTTGTAATAAGCTGTCAAATTCTTTTGAGATCAATTACTAAACAAAAAAAAATTGTTAAAGGAGGAAAATATTTTAAAATATAGTGAGTCCTGAAAAATATTAGTAAAATATGCAATGGTGACTAGAAATAAATAATGAACTAAAACAACAAAGATTAGTTGAGTGAAATACCTTGAATTAGGCCTACAGTAAGTTGTGCTATTCTCATAAATGAGGGCTAAAAAGTAACCAAGACACACTGATGAGGGTTAGACCATGCCGTTAATTTAATTAATGGAAAAGTGCGGTGAAACTTGCAAAAAAAAACTATTGTAAGCAAAATCAGCAACGATTCAACATTTTTAATATTATTGTAATTTTGTATTACTTTTATGAGCTGACAAATTTTAAACATTACGTGTAGTATCGGTGTTCCTGCAATTAATCGTTGTCAAATAATTACAATTAATTTAGTAAGTTTTAAATTTTTTTTGAGAAAAGTTAAATCTAGAATTTAAAAACTAAAGATATAACTTGAAACATTGTTTAAAACTGGTTGCATAAAAATTGGTTCAGGTATCTATATTTTCTTTGATCTAACTTATGTAAATTTAAGGACACTAGATGTAAATTTCACCTATTAGAAGACCATTTATAGGAAATAACAATTACATGGGCATAATTTTATGAATCATTAAACCCCTGGATCAATTTTATACCGAGTTAAAGTTTAAAACGCCTATTTAGTACCAGGTAATCCTGGTTTTAGTTGAACGTTTAGTTTGAATCTAGATTTGTTTTAGGTCACGTACCATGCTCTCAACTTTCTTTCTTTTTCTTTGTTCTTTAAAAGAAAATGATACCCTAATTTCTTCTCATCATCTAAACCAAGATTTCCTGACAGTACGGTACTCCAGATATTTCAAGCTTTTATTTGTTGTTACATTTTGTTTATGTACAAAACTAAAATCAGTTAAGTTTTTTTAATATCTTATTTACAGGTGAACCCCACACAACGGTGCCGCTGAGTGAGTAAAGCTACAATCAGGTACAGAATAGCCTAACTTACTTGTAGGCCTACAAGGAATGTTTGTGTCACCGAACATAGAACCCACCGGTGTGATCGGTTGTGTAGTCAGTGAGAAGGGGCGACCCGGCGAGGGCAGTGTAGTCTGGGTAGCCAGCGTACTGCGTGTATATGAGACTGTGGGCATCGGCGGGGGACAGCAGGGGGCCCTGTGGTGCTGACGTGGGGACTGGCAGGCGGGGGGAGAGTATCAGCGGGGCACCTAGGGGGGTGGCTGTGGGGGTACGCAGGGCTGACGGGGTGAGGCCGGGGATAGACGGGGACATCAGCCTCTGGGCGTCCGCAGCCGCTGTGAGAGCCATCCTCCGCCACTCTTCGTCTGAAATAAGACGTCAACAGGGTGCATTACTTTCGTAGAGAGTTAAAGGTTGAAGAAAAATGTTGGGCATCCTACATTTTGCCCTGGTTTCTAAAAAAAAAAACACACACAAATTTACCTACCAAAATAGAAAAATTCCTTGTTTTCCTAAAATCTTCGTTCGTAACAATATGAAACCTTATCTAAAACCTCAACCATTAAGTTTTTCCTGTTTTTGAGTCATTATTAGCTACTACCATTGACTTTTGCATACTGAAGTTGTATTGATAGTCAAAGCTACTACTTAATTAAAACAAGTTTCTGACTCATGTTAATGTTTGTTGTAGAGAGAAACTTTCTAATATAGCAGTTAATCTTCTTAATTAGGATTACATTTATACAAAGAGACAATGACGTCTCAAATAACATTGTTTATTGTTTTACTCTTAAGAATTCAGTGAAATAAATTGTGCACACCACTACAGGAGCAACATAAAACATACACTTGGTATGAAATCAACCAGAGATAAGAATCACACATAAGCAAAATGTAAGAAAAATGTGGCAAAATTTACAAACAAGATATCAAATTTATTATTAATTTTGACAACTTACACAGTTAGCTATTTTTATTGCAAGCATTTGGTTATTGTCTAGTAGGCATAGCATACACACCTTAAAGAAAAAATTAAATCATGCTAATAATACAAGGGTGATCCTACCTGTGAACATACCTGCAGCCGCCAGAGCCTTGGCGTTGGAATCTCTGTAAGTTCCATTGATGATGGCCAGCTCCATCAGCTGTCTCTTCTTCAGCTCATCTTCTCCGTCGGCCTAGAAACAAAATTATCAGCTGTTAACAAAGATGACTTCCAGCCAAACCACAGCTTACCTCCATCAGCGTCCATTATTACATTTGTCAAATAAATAAAGATTAATTCCATCAAAAAGTTAGCAAAACTGACCAAGGTTGCATGATAATAAAAAAAAGCCATGGAATAAACCATATTTATGGCACCTGTGACAGTTTAATTCTACAGAAAAATGTTTCTTTAACTTCAAAAATTATCAGTTAAATAAAGGTTGAAGTACAATGCCTCACCATATGGATTCGAATTACTGGTAAAAACAGAACATACAATCTGATTCCCACTTAAGTGCTTTTAAGTTTTCCTTTAATATCTCAAATGCTCACATCCACTTTATTCAAGTGGCAAAACAGCTTTCAGGGGAAATCATAAACAGTTCTAGTGTTATTGCTTCCACTTCCACAACAGCTAACTTATATAAGATTTCAGTCATATTTTCTAGTATATATTACATTAGTGGTGTTGAAACAAGCTGGCAGGCAGCAAACTTAGTTGTGACTCATGCAGCCTTGCTGTGCCAAATGACCACCGGTTATAGTTTTGTCCTCCCTTATACTACTCCTATGTCCCCAGCCAATATAGATTCCACAGGTGTCTATAATGGGACAATTGCGCTTGAGATCAAAGTAAATACTGTACAGTGTTCAATGGTTTCAAATCAAAAGTACCACATACTTTTTAGTTTTTAACAATTCAAAATTTGAACTGTGACAGCATTGTTATAAACTAAATTAAAAATACACTTTTTTATTGGGATAGCCAAGCTATGGTGTAAGTTGTTTTACTGACGCTTTAAGTTTTATCGTTTCGGTGCCACTTATTTCAGTTCCTTCCTGAGCTCCTAAAATCACACAACTAAGGACAGGCATAGCTATTTTTATTAATAAATAACACAACTAGTAGGAATAGCCACTCAGAAATGGCGCTACGTTCTAAACAAACATTTATCCCCTCAGTTGTTACTGCCATAGTTGATGTGGCATGAAAGTTACTATGGTCCTATGGTTTACCTTTTTAGTCGATAACTCAATTCAACTACCGGTACGTTCATTTTTATTCTAAAGAACATGGGAAGTACATGGAAATGGAATATTAAGTTTCCCAAATATTCTAATATGGTCAAAGGTTTAAGTCAATAAAAGAACATATCTGACACACAAATCAATATAACTGAATGGGGGCGTTAAGCTTTAGGTTTTACAAACTACTAGACCTAATAGAAGACAATTTACCAATTTCCTTCAAAAACAAAAATACTGTGCTAATATATATATTAAGATTTTACAGTTCAATTTTCACACTAATCTCAACAATGGATGGTACATTTCAGTGCCAGTTTCAGACAGAACAGATGACCTGAGTCTCTGAGAGGTCGGAGGTTATCTACTTTACAACACAAGGTCACCAAAACTGCTCATTAGCCATTTAAATCTCCCATTTGTGCTTACACAATTCTGCTGTAGTTGATCAAATACTGATGATTAAGACTACTTGAAATTATAAAAATCAGTACATCAATGTATAATGGAATATTCCACCACTCTACCTCCTTTAACTCTCTCTTGTAAGTGATTTCAAACGTTTTCTACAACTTATATTTTGAAAGCTACCCAAATATGTTGACATTTGTTGAGTTTTTAGACAAATAACAATCTACACAGTGTAATTTTGAAACTTCAAATATGCTGTAGTCTAAATTATATTGTTATAAAAATATAACAAACCAATACTGCCAGTTTTTGCAGTAAGTTTTCAGAGAAGCAGTGTTACATTTCATCCTATCTCCCTTTCATTTTACATAAGACACCTTGGCTTACATTAAATTTCATGTCCTTGAAGGTTATTTGCTGTTGACGGTAGTCACAATTGTACAGAGGAAAGGAAACACTTAATATGGTACAGTTAAGTTGTGTCCAGCACTACTCCCGGTGTCTAGGACAAAGTCAAATCTGCTCCCCTCGCTTTCATGCATTACAACACCCACTTTGGAGGAAGACCCTGTGCGCTGTGGGATAGGAATTTCCGCACAGTGTTCGCCGCTCTGGTTCTCCCTCGCTCATCACAATACTAGAGCTGAAAGGGCACAGTCAGCCAAGCGAGTTTCCTATGTGTAGTAGTGTATTTCAACTTTTTACAGATGTATTTGAAGGTGTATTGCGTGTTGTAGTGACTCACCGGTACCAGCAGTTTCTTCACCTCCTCCACAGCCCTCTGCAGTTTCAGCTTGGCCCTGTTCTCTGTGTCTTCCACTGTGATCAGTACGTGCAGCTCCTCACTCAGATGCTCCCAGTTAGGCTTCCCTCTGTTCAGCTCCTCCTGCACAAACAGTCAACATGAGCTGTCTTTACATGTAGGGAGATGACTCAGACAATTCAAATACTACTGTATTGGCGTTGAATCTTCATCTTCGGGAGATGATCATGTCTTTGAATTGGCAAAAATATTGACCAAATGATTTGCAGAGTGCCCTGAAGATAGATTGCTTCAAAGCTTCCAAAACATCATCCAGTATTTTTGCCAATTCAATAACACTGTAATCTCCTAAAGATAAGATTTGACAGTATATACTTCATCTCCCGAAGTACTTTGATGAGTACTTTGATTGTAGAAAGCTTTCTTTTAGTATTTTCCAAAGTTTTACAAATTAATTTACAAACCATATAGGCCTACCATAAAAAACAAATGAATACTTTGTTTTAAATTGCTAAACATATTTGACATTTGTATTTTTTTAAGTCAATTACTTCTTATTATTACCATCATTGTGGTTTTCAGTACCAAAAGTATATTTAAGAAACTATTATTATCTTTTGCAGACAAACTTATTGACATTCATTGTTCAGGAGAAGTAACTTGTATAACAATATATCATAACAAATTAATATAAGTTCAATGATAAAATAAATTCTTCTCCGCAATTTATGCCTCTAAACATTTTTACAAAACACAGTGATACCATAGAGGGGTGGTGATACCCAACCCAGCCTATACAAGTGCAAAAGTGGGTAACTTATGTTTTTAAATACAAAACAATACACTGTCACTGTTTACAGAAAATTTTAAACAACTTACCCAAACTTATCTGTGTTAAAACACAAGTGTTTCCAATAGTTACTTTGGCAGCACAAACAAACAACAATAGTTTTTAAAACATCCATAATATCATGTAGCCTACATATGGCACATTTGGTAATGGATACACACTACACACTTCCCATAAAATTTGTATTGCAAGTAGGTAAATTAACAAAAACAAAGTATTTCAGGATTTTAAAGAATTACGAATCTTTAGAGTTGGCGAAAATACAATGGACTCATTCCATGAGAGAAATGAAACTGTATCCAGAAGCTGTGCAGATATTAGTGGCAGGAAACAGCGTCAAGAGATATTTCAACTTTGGTGACAGGAGTCGAGCGCCACATGTTCCTACCTCTAACTCCATCCTCAACTATTCTGGGACTGTAGAATGTCTGCCCCTACGTTCTGATATAGCTGAATAAGAAACAAAAAACCCAAGCCGAGACACAGGCTTTGGTGTTTCATATCATCTTGCTGTAGGCTACCTTCACAGTTGCTGTGTGGACTTAACTAATTGTGGCATTTTGAAAAGTTCCCCAAAATCAAGACGAAGATGTTGACCAATCAAAAGTTTACATCTACAACAATGTACACAACATCGGTAGAGAACAGAGCGTCTGACATACTGAGAGTGAATTAGACACAGTACAAATGAGAAGGGAGGGTGTGTGTCTGGAAATAGAGTGAGACAAAATACGACAAAGGGAAGTGAGCGACAGAACACTGAACACAGTATAGCGTCTACATTACAGTATTGTCAACCCGGATTTACTAAAACCTAGTAAAACAACTGTTTTACAAGCAAATATGCACACTTGATATTGAGCAGTGTTGGGCGAAGAATGTACCAACACTGCTGAAAAGTCTTTGATTTTGATAAAAATAGGATAAAAATATACATGCAAACTTGATTGGTGTTTAAAGCATTGTGGAACATTAACAGCAAGCTGATTCCGACAGGAGGGATTACAACAGCTGCAAACTTGATTTCAATTAGATGATGAAAAATAATTACAGAGCTACATTGTTAACAAAACTGCATCCGAGTGTGGAGTGTGGTAGGACCTCCTGCCATTTGTCTGGAAATAACTCAGCAAAAATGTTCTCTGCACAAACGTTTGCTTCATCGTAATTTCATCACAAATAACGATGAAATCAACATTTATGCAGATGACTTCTCAAACCGAGCATTACGTATAGCTACTACCAGGTGCAGCCTTACAAAGAAGGAGAAATCTGCATGTCTAACGTCTACGTGATTCCAACAATAGAACTCAGTAAGTGCACTAAAACTAGCAATTACTTCTACAAAATAGTCCTCCGAGTATTCACATGACGATTACTCAACTGCAGGCAAACCCACAGACGAATCGGATAGTCATCCGAGGTAACAAAAAGAAACGAAAATAGTCTGGATAAGCCAGAGACGGCTTAGGAGACAGACGCCAAAATCTGGACAAGACCATTAATATTATTCACGGGCCAATTAGTTTCCAGAGACATAATTCTCTACAACAACGTTCCGCTGGTCTAAATCAACCGATTAGCCACCACAGACTACGCCCCCGTAACTGCTGAGTAGCGGAGTTGAGTGGAGTGAGTCATCGTACTGAACTGGCGTGGGTCGAGCCAAAGTGGATAAACAGATGTGTGTAAACCTCGTCGTCGTATGTAGTGTAGTTACGAGGACTGCAGAACAGCAGAACGTGCGCTTATTAATAGCAATGACGAATGCTAGACGTCGACATATTACGGAGTTTGCTAGATAATAAAAAATCAAATACGCAAAAGAGGATGAAAGTAAACTGCCCATGTAACAATATAGTGTTTACAACGTAAAAGCTGGTAAAAGTAGTATTAGCATTGTTTAAATTGAGAAAAGTGGTCATGCATTTGGGAAAGAAGACATTTCTCTGTTATTATTTATCTATTCTTAACAAATAAGGTATCATTGAAAACTACATAAAATGTACTAACTTTTTTGTCTCTTGCAATTTTTTCGTTAAGTTAACGGGTTTCGTGAAATTTGGCATCAAATATTTTCAATGTTTGCCATTTTGAAACGGTTAATGATTTTTAAATATAATTAAAAAAAAAAAGATAGGTCTTCATAAGATAAACATTTTTGCAAAATCTCAACGCTGTATCTCAAACCGTTAAGGAGTTATTAATATTTTTGTAAAAAACACATAAATACAGGGTCGGAAAACTAGGCACCTCAGACCCACGTTTCTAGGTGAAATGTGTTTGTCTTAACCCAAGCAATAACGCTATATAGGTATGTCCAGAGAGTTACGGGACACTGTGTATAGCCTACATGTTTATAATCTGGTAAAGGCCTTTCAAGAGCCGGAAATCTTGACAATTTAGAAATATACTAGATCAATATAAATTGGGATAATCCAAGAATGATTGAAAAGTTATCTACAGAGTGAATCATACTGGAATCATTACTCCATTAGCCGGCAAGTAAATAGTAGACGGATGAACTGACGCTACTTTGGAGTTATTACACAGAGGCAGACCAAAGGGCAAACACTAGTACAATATAATCAATCTTAAACTTAACGAAACCAGAGCAGAGACTGAGACAATCTCGAAGGTAACTTGACTCCGGCAGCGAGACGCGGCTCAGCGTTTTATGAGGTTTGGGTTTCATAACCATTTGGCGCTATAAATACATAAATCAGCTGTGCGGGCCAGCCGGTGTGGCGCGCGAACAGGCCTACCAACCAATTCTGTTAGCATGATTGCCAACTGTCACCCTTTAAGAATAAAACTTCCATTGATTGCGTATTGATAATAGTGTATAACACATAAATTAATTAGTGATTTTTCTATACCATTCTATTCCTGATTATTATATTAAGCATTGCTAAATCCTTAGTCCCGTTCTTTTCTAAACGTTGTAAACTAGTTTTTTTATCATCACATAACAACGTTGTCGTGTCCAAACCAGCTGTAATTGACCTTCTCTCTGTAGAATTTTAAAGGACTAGTTATCCTTCGTAGTACCGTAACATATCCTCATCCTCATACCTGGACCTGAGGGGTTAAAAATAGTTGTTGCTTGCCTCACCAACACAAACTTCATCAAGCGAACTGTTTTAGTAACAGGTTATAGTTCATAAATAAATAGGATTGGCAGCCCCGCGGTCACAACAGCTGATTTATTCGACATGATATCGCCAAGGTGATTACGAACTCCATAAAGGATGCAGTTACCTTACCGTCAGGTTATCCTGTTAACGCTGCTGTATTTTATCTCGACCTCATTATAAAAGGAGAATTGTGATAGTTAGTCATATCATTATAACAATAAATTCGTTTTTATAACAACGATAATGTGGTTTAGGGGAGAAATAAAGTGTTGAGTGCATTAAAAAAATTAAATCGTTGGGATTAAAGATCATATTGGTAAGCTTCCTATGATCAAATAGAGTTTCGCAACTATGACCTGATGGCCCTTGGGTGACTGATCTGCTAATCGTTATATTTGCTGTATGATTAATTGCTAGACTTTAGATCCCAGAGTAGCTTAAGAGCACAGATAACATTTGAAAAAATCGCCAATTAAGGAATAAGAACCTTAATAATGTTTATAACAATTTTCATATGGGATTTTCGTAATAAGCCAAGGCTAATTTCAACGTAAATAAGAATTGCACAAATATAATTAAGGATTTATAAAACGTGCTTAGTTCGCAATTCAGTTTGTTGACTTAACTATTTAAGTATTTCAATTTCGAATCTACTCGGACCTTAAGCGTTGCAAATCTATGCAAATTTTATTTTCAACCATAACATGTACAACTGTTACACACAGCTACATACTTAGTTTTATGGTCTCGGTAAAGAAAGACAGGGGTTATCTTATCACAGTAAACATAAACATATTTCCCAAGCTGCTAATTTCACACTCAAGGCTGCTCATCTTGTTACAAGCAAGAGTCTACTAAGTGAGGTGTCTTTGATTTAAGAAAAGATTTTCTTGGCTAAGCCTCTGAGAGAATTTCCCGACGTCACAATTCAATAGGCGATTAAGTATAAGTATAAACTACTACACTAGGAGGAACAGTACTTACTTTCTTTTTATCCCTCATCGACCCTTTGCCCCGAACCATGATTTTACACCCTGTTTCTTGTTCCAACTGCTTGGCCGTCATCCCTCTGGGGCCTAAGATCCGGCCCACGAAATTAAACTGAAACAAACAGAGATAAAGATAAGAAAACATTGCCAATGTTAAACAAGACTCTGGCACATAGGCTGTACAAGTTATAGTACATCATGCAACATAATTTCTGAGTAGGGTATTATGAAAACTATTATGGTGCGCTTTCACTGGGCAGCTATACGTTTTATAGAACACTTAAAATTTCTATGTACAATTTCATCACACTGAAACCGAAAACCTGAACCTACCGATTACTATGCGAACACAAAAAAGCGTACTACTTATCAATCCGGCTCGAAGGACCAAAAATGGTTTCCTCCACCAATCAAGGTAATTAATACACCCATCATTGTAATCAACTCTCAACTCTATCCTGGGATGATGACAACACACACGGAGACGATGATGTCGAGGGTGTGGCCCAGCTAGTGTCTCACGTCTATTTCCTGAGTCCGGCTCACAGACCTGGGCGGCTCCTGGTATTGTCATGTCGTATAATACGACCATCAGTCAAGTCGGACACGGTAAAACAATGGTTGCCGCCCAAGAGACAACGTGGGCTCATCAGAGGAGGCCTAACGGTTGCGATCAAGACGGTATGGATGTTGCGTACAGACTTGGGATAACCGATGTGGTCCACAGGGGTGATGGATTTTTACTGGATCCGCAGGTGGGACTAAAATAAAAAGTGTACTAACGATGTACAGTAGGAGTTGGTGGTGGATAAATTATGAGGATGCACTAATTGTTCAGTATTCCAAATATGAACGGAAGACGAGTGTAGGATAAGTAAGACGATGTGTGTAGCATTTTAACCGATTTAGATCAGCTGTGTTTTTCGTCAGGACCATTTTTAAAAGCATAATTAATGATCAAGGGTGCTGGAGCATGATGTATAAAAAAGACTACTGAGCTTTCTCAGGGTGGAACCAAACACATTCCGATTTTTTAAGCTACTGTTACTACTCAGCTACCTTGCTCAGTAAAAGTAGTTAACATACTCCAATTTATTGGAGTTTAGTAATTTTCAATTTGCAAAGTACCACCCAACCCAAATGAAGGCTTTCAATATCATTACTTAGACCATGACAAAAGGCAGTTTCGAACGTTTAAAAGTAATCAATGAATTCTCACGATCAGGCCTAAGAGAAACGTTATCTAAAGTAATTGACATTACACAAGTCAGCAGAGCTACATGTCGACTTCACCTGCCATACACCATATGTCCGTGAGATTTATAAGAGTTGCTCAACTTTATTGGCTTGTCGCTCTCTTCTAATGCCATCATTAACTCATATTTCACAGCTGTGCGTTACCTGGGATGCTTCTGGAGTCGTAGAGAATTCATTACATCAACAACACTTGTTTCAGGTCATTATATTGAGCCACTATCTTTTCGTCATCTGCCTCGAGGTCTCAACTAAATGTTTGCTCCTTTTATGGTGGATTTTTGAACAGCGATATGATGATCGCAACATCTGTTGTGTTGCTAGGGAGAAAGTTAAATTCCCACTGATGTAATCACTGGATCTTTTAACCAGGCCACTTTTTGTTGCCGGGTCTGAAACAGCATTACGTGTCGTTTGTGGTTGACATCGGACTACGGCCAATCTTGCATGTATTTTTGTTTTATGAACCTTTTTGAAATAGGTGGGCAGTATTTTTTACATTGAAACCATCCGCTCACATGAGCTTCAGGCGAGTCCGTGGACGTTTCAAGCAAAGCAAGCACAGTACAAGAATATACAAGAATATCGGTACTGATACATTTGGTTGCAACAGGAGGGACCCAAACCCCCGACAACTCTGTCTCTTTCACAGCCCGTCGTGCAACCGAATTACATTTTACAGATCTTCTACATTTGTGATTGCACTTAAAATACTCATTCAACATGACCACGCTTGATGTAAACACCATTTCAGCTCAAAAAGTCTAACAGAAACAACAACAGTCACAAGAAATTGTAAAGACATTTTGACTCTTGGTACGTCCAAGGTTGAAAGCCTTGACTAACAAAGACAATAGAACTTGTATCCGGAGATCGGTCATCCATAACATGCAATTTCCTATAACTCTTAAGCACAGAAAGATTTACTCACTCAAAGAGAAGAGCCACTTAATGTCAATGGCGCAAATGAACTGCAACATTAGTTGATCTCCAAGTATAACCAACATACGTTGCTAAAGAAGAACCTGCTTCTGGCATCCAAAAAAAAGGTTCCATTTACATTTAGAAAAGTATTGAATTCAGTAGTGATCAACCTAACATTTTGGCCCAATGGAGAGTTCAGGGGTCAAAAGAGCTTTCCCCACAACAACCGTGTTTTGTCGTGAACGCTACCGAAGAATGCCATCTGAAGGTGACTGCCGTATTCGTCCACGCTTAGCCTACATCGGATACTAATGGCGGACAGGACTGGCCTTTGCTATTAATTGCCTTTCTTAGAAACGTGGTCACCGATAGTTCTGAGTCGACTCATTGTTCTGCAGTTACGGAGGAGGATTTCAGGATAAGTTAGGAGTTGCGATGTGTGTCACGAGACTTCCTAGTACACAGTGAGGTTAAGTTTTCCATTTCGCCTCTTTGGTCGCGGATTGTAAAATAGGAATATGTAGAAGAGTTTTAATTTAACTACACATCTTTCTATACTGTACATATCCTGACAACAAACCATCATGTTTGGGGCAAAACATCCAAAGTACAGAATATATCACTACATCGGAAGCGAAATGGTTCTTTTAGCGTCTATAGTCCTCGCCACCCTAAGTTGAGACCGCACGGCGTATATCTAGTGGGGCCTTTGGCTGCCTCAACTTAGGGTGGCGAGGACTATACTGATCTAATTCCATCACAGGGATCAAACAAGACACGTCATTACAAGTTCAAGTTATTTGTCAAAAGTCACCGTCCGAGGTTCTAAATTCTTTGGATGTAAACAGTGACATACAATAACAAAATAACGAGCTTCAGCAACTTATCATATCATTAAAACAATCGACTTTTAAGTAATCACAGGCGGCAGATCTTTATCGATCGTTCATCGTGTTTAAGAACGTTTAAAATCTCATCGCTTTCGTTATCAGCCAGCCTCCGGACCTAATGGTCCATGAGATAGTCAGCCACGCGCCACTCTGGGAGCCGTGGCGCCTCTGGTGGAGGACGGCTCAACTAAAGTGCTATAAGCTAAATATATACACTTGCAGTTGATCCACTTGTGTCATCCATTGAAAATATGAAGATAAAAAGCTGCTTTAAAGCGTCATCGGCATCTTTGCATACATGTGTGAAGAAGGGGGCGATGGCGAGTTTTTCGATGGTGAGGAAAAAGGATTTCAATTGGCAACGGGATGATTGTCGAAAGAAATATCGGAGTATCCGGTATCACGTTTGTTGCTAAATATCATCAATGCAGTCCCTATGCTAATTTGGTCATTTTCGTATTAGTGCACATCAATTCTGTCGAAAGTGTGGAAACTATTCTCTTGGTAATCAGAAACGTAGTTGGTAAATTTTGTTTATGTCAAGCATTATGAGATATGAACGCAGCTACTGTTATTTTTATGTAAATTGATGGAGTATGAGTTGAATGCGTTGTGCAGCGTTGGTACAAACTATTTTTTAGTAGTACAAAATAGTATTAACTATTTTTTAACTACGACTATTTAGCCCAATGATCAAAGGAAACTATACTGACTATTCACCAGATCGAAACGGTGACCCTCAGAATGTTGGGCGATTACTGTCTTGCGACAGTGGGACAAAGAATTAAACATTTGTAATGATTTCCACTACAAGCATTACCTGGCGGGTCAGCTCTGCTTCGGAGCACAGATCGAATAGCACTGACTTGTGCAAAGGAGCTGAGGGATGGATTGTCAACAGAACGAGAGATCGCTGTATTATTGGCTAATAACAGCTGGGTTTTAGTCAGGATTATTCTAGGAAAGCTGAGCCCAGTTTAGAGTCATCAAAAAGCTACTCTTGGTTCAGGATAGCTAAAAAGACTTCCTAGCTACACGGCAATGTTTATCAGGAAAGCATTTGGTAGTTGGTATATTTTGAGAGGTTACTTATATGTGTTACACACACGTATACACGAGGTGGTCTAAATAATGATGACTCTTTAACACAACTGTGACATGCACACTAAAGAGCATGAGCAAATGGAAGTTGCTCAACAGACTAATTTTATTCACGCTATTGATTGCAAACGATTGCAAAACCATTTTGCCAGGATATCTGTGTGGCTGAGCTACAGTGATATGCCGTAGCCGGAAACCAGGGACGAGCCTCATCAATATTGATGTCCGCCGTCAACGCACACAACACATACAAATCAGAACTACTACTGTCTACTGGCCGGCAGAAACTGACAACATGTCAAAATGACAAGCAAAGTCTTCCTGACTTGGCCTGTTTGCGGCATTCAAAAGATGCTTTCAGTGCGGTAGAAAAGATCTGACGGTTTTAAATTCGGTCCACCAGCATGTACCGGTACAGGTGGTAAATCCAGAATCTTTCAATTTTCAATTTTACTCGGGTAATCATACAATGATGAGGGAAAGGTAGAGTTGGAGATGGAGAAAGAGACAGAGGTAAAGTGAGATGTAGAGGTTGATGTCGATGTAAATGTAGAGGTATAAAAAATAGATTACGTCCTTTAGATGTGTAAAATGTAATGTGATACTGCATCGCGCTTTTAAATAGAGGTTTAGTGCAAGACCTCTTGGATACAATCTAGTTTTAGTGCGTCGTCCAAATAGAGGTTTCTTGATTCGTCCGTCTAATTCAACACCACTCCACTATGTCGTCCTCCATTTGTCTAAAGCAGTCTTGAAATAACTATATCAGTGTAATCATAGAGCTGAAAAATATGGCATTTTTGCACACATATGTCATGTTTTCGTGTTGTGTGGTCCACCTTTTACACGTTGACAGCTACTGTCACTTCCATGTCAACATCAGTACATAGATCAACATAGGTATTTGCAAGACAGTGGAAACTGACTTCACTATACACTACCG